TTCCAATAAGGAATGGGAAGGAGGTGCTGCTGGCAGTGAGTGTTAGGCTGGTGGTGCCCCAGGATGGATGGGGGAGTCCCTGACTCTAGCTCCTATACAGATTGCCACACTCAGTAACTGGGCTATGTACCAGGTATAGGGCAGAGGGGGCCTTGAGCACAACATAGTTTTCCCTCCCAGGGTCAGCGGGCACCCAGGAGGACCTGCTACGCTGGTGCCAGGAGCAGACAGCTGGGTACCCAGGAGTCCATGTTACCGACTTGTCTTCCTCCTGGACGGATGGTCTAGCTCTGTGTGCCTTGGTGCACCGGCTGCGGCCTAGCCTGCTGTGAGTTGGGAATTGGCATGGGGATGCCCAACAGAGAGTACCACTAGCATGCCTCTGCCCGTCTCTCTGCCTCTTGGTAGGGAGATCATCGTGTGGGAGTTAGTAGCTAAGTCCCAGTTCCACTCCTACACATATACACCTGGCTGTGCATACCCTGCCTCCCTGGAGATAGTATTCCTACCTGACCTGCCTCCCTGCCTGACACAGAACCAAATGTATTAGGTAGAGGTGGGTTTTCAGTGGTAGAGGAGGCCCCCAAGGCCAAAAATGGTTGTCACTGTTGGTGGGAAAGGTAGGTAAAAAGGGAGGAAGTAGAGAGAACCACCTTATGTGCCCTCATCTCCCTTATGGCTCCCCTGCCCATCCTGCTGGCCTTAACTCCCCATCCCTCTCCCCCATCAGTGGAACCAGGTTCTTGGCTCCCATTGGCTTCTCTTTGACATCCCACAGGGAACCCTCAGAGCTGCAAGGGGTGGGGGCTCTGGAAGCAGCTACCTGGGCACTGCACGCGGCAGAGCATGAGCTAGGCATCACACCAGTGTTGTCTGCACAGGCAGTGGTGGCAGGCAGTGACCCATTAGGCCTCATTGCCTACCTTAGCCACTTCCACAGTGCCTTCAAGACCATGTCCCACATCCCAGGTGAGCTGGAGGGTAGATGGGGGACAGGGAATGTGAAAGGGAGAGAGAAGGGGGTGACCTCTGAGGATCCACCTGGGTGGGAGAGTGACTGTTTGGAGGTGCAGTATCAACCCCTCATCTACCCTGACACCCAAATTCTGCCTGCAGGTCCTACTGGCCAAGTCTCTCCAGGTACCTCTAGTGCTGTACTGTTCCTTGGCAAACTCCAGAGAACCCTGCAACGGACCCGGGCTAAGGTGGAGAACCTGGAGCAGGGTTGGAGCTGGGCTGGGGGTGTCCAGTGAGATCCCTGGGATAATGGAGAGGATGATATTCAGAATGGGAGAAGGGGAGACCTGGGACTCAGGCCTCATGTTTATAGCTATAGGATTTGTTGCAGGAAAGTGGGGAAGATACTGGTGGCAAGAAGCCTCGCTTAGAGGTAAATGCAAGCAGGGGTGGGATGGTTCCCTTCCCCATATCCTATTTCCCTTCCCTGACCTGTTCCTCCAGGTCTTGCCTTCCACCCCAGGTCCTATAGCCCCCGATCCTGTCTCCCTGCCTAGACTCAGTCCCTTCCCTTCCAGCCCTCTCTTTCCATGCACACATCTCCTCCCCACCTGATCCTGTCTGAGCACTTAACTCCTTAGGTAGAGGCTGAGACTCCAAGTACTGAGGAGCTACCTGTCCCTGAACTCAGTGTACCTCTGACACCCCCATCTCAACCTGAGGAGGTAAGAGCCAGGGTGGTGTCTACAGGCAGAGGCGTGGGGAGGGCAGGGAAGGAGTGTTGCAGAGAAAGGGAAAAACTTTGTAGCTAAGCCTTGGCTCCAGCTGACCTGTGTCCTGGGGGTCTGTGCAGGCCAGTACTGGGGACCTGTGTGCACTCTGTGGGAAACACCTCTACATTCTGGAACGCTTCTGTGTGGATGGCCATTTCTTCCACCGGAGCTGCTTCCGCTGCCATACTTGTGAGGCCACATTGTGGCCAGGTGACTACGGGCAGCATCCAGGAGATGGTGAGTGGGCCTGGGAGACTGCTAGAAGGACTTTGAGCCTGGTGGGGTTGGGGGTGGGGCTGCAGGGAAGGAGCTTGAGGATGGAGAGGAAAACGGGTGGTGGGCAGGAGGTGGAAATAGGCTCAACATGGCACTTTCTTCCTCTGAGCCTGGAGACTTCTGTCCTCTCCAAAGCTCCAGATATGGGGTTCTAAGGAATCAGGAGGCTGGCAGAATCTCAGGCAATTCCTGTAGCCTCTACCTCCCCTGATAAATTTTTGAACATCTGGGCACTGAGCTCTCTATTCCTGATGCCTCTACTCTTTTCAGGACATTTCTACTGTCTCCAGCATCTGCCCCAGCCAGGCCACAAGGAGGATGACAGTGAAATAGGACCTGAGAACCCTGTAAAAACTGTGAGTGTGGGTAAAGGGGGTGTCTCAGCCCAAAACTCTGCTAGGGGTTAAGTGAATGGTATCCTCCACTGGACTGTAAGCTCCTTGAAAGCAGGAATGTTTGTCTGGTTGTATTTAGTGTTATATTCCAGTATCCAGAGCACTACCAGATAATGTCTACTGGATGGTGTTAAGTAAATGCCAGGGTACACATTGGCTCAAAAGGAGTGGTTTCAACCTCTACACTATACAGATTCCTAAGCAGATCACATGGTGGCTTTTCCAGGAGCTTCCCACACCAAGTGAGGACAACCTGCCAGGCCCGTTGACTCACACAACCCCACAGGAGGACACCAGTCCTGTCCCAAGCCCCAGCCAGTCTAACCGTCGGCTGATCCGCCTCTCCAGCTTGGAACGTCAGCGGCTCTCCTCTCTTAACATTAACCCTGAACCTGAAACAGAGCCTCCTCCCAAGCCCCCCCGCAGCTGCTCGGCCTTGGCCCGCCAGGCCCTGGAAGGCAGCTTTATGGGCTGGGGTGTGCCAGGCCAGAGTCAGCAAGGTGACTGACTGCTCAATCCACAATTGTGGCAACCTGGGGGGTGTATGGGTTAGGAGTACTGGGATTCCTACAAGGGGATTCTAGGGAATATAAGGGAGGTCATGAGGGTACTAAGCCATGTCTCCCTCTCATCTGCTCAGTTCTTAAGGACATAGAGAAGGAGGAAGAGAGTCCTTCCTCCAGTGAAGAGGAAGAGGAAGAGGAAGATGTGCCTTTGGACTCAGACTTGGAGCAGGTGACTGGCAGGAACTTGGCCACCCACTCTGTCCAAGCCAGTATACAGCCACTAATACTCTCCACTCTCACCACAGGAGAAACCACAGCCCGCTGCATCCTCTTGGAATGTCCTCTCACCTAGTCTGACATTTATGCCTCTAGGTCTCCATCTTGTCTAGCAGAACTAAGCCCACTTCCAGCCTCTTTTCTCCCCTTCCCAGTTTTACGCACTCCTACCCCTGACTCACCCAACTCTCCCACAGGCCCTGCTGACACTGGCCAAGAACTCGGACACCATGAACAAGTACCCTACATGGCGCCGAACTCTGCTGCGCCGGGCTAAGGAGGAGGAGATGAAGAGATTCTGCAAGGCCCAGGTGAGGCCTAGGGGTTGCTAGAAGTTCTCACAGGGGTCACAGTTCTGTGTTTGGATCAGAGCTCCTCCAGCACTGTTGTTGAGTAATCTTGTACCCCCTCAGACAATCCAGCGGCGACTAAATGAGATTGAGGCTGCCCTGAGGGAGCTGGAAGCTGAAGGCGTGGAGCTGGAGCTTGCCTTAAGGAGCCAGAGCAGTGAGTGAAGCTAGGACGCCACTCTGTCTCCTAGAACTTTGTTTAGTCCCCAGCTGAACCCCAGAACCAACAGGCTCTGGTCCAGTCACACAGCTCTATACACACCAATGCCCTTTTTTCTTGTCACCCCCCAAGCCCCTGACTCCTGTTTTCCTAGCTAGAGGCCTTGTGACCATCCCAACCCTTCTTCCTTCTTCCTAGGTTCCCCAGAACAGCAAAAGAAACTCTGGTTAGAACAGCTGCTGCATCTTGTCCAAAAGAAAAACAGCCTAGTGGCTGAAGAGGCTGAGCTCATGATCACGTAAGGCACACTGATGGTGACATTGGCACAGAGCTAAGCCCAGTCCTGTGGGCACCCTGTATAGCTGTGCCTCTTCAATCCCTGACCCCCACAGGGTGCAGGAGCTGGACCTAGAAGAGAAGCAGTGGCAGCTAGACCAGGAGCTAAGAGGCTACATGAACCGTGAAGGTACGTGGGACCCCTCATGAACTTGGATCAGGCAACTCCTCATGTATCTCTGCAACAATCAGGAGAAAGTCAGGAGATGGGACTTGGAAGCCCCCACACTCTTGAACAATCAGGGCTGCACAGTTGGGTTTTTATACAAAATTTCCTTCAAAAACAGTGCTGCTGGGCTGGGGTTATAACTCAGTGGAAGAGCATTTGCCTAGCATGTGTGAGGCACTGGGTTCAATTCTCAGCACCACATACAAATAAATAAAATAAAGGTTCATCACTCAAAAATATCTTTAAAAAAATGGTGCTGCTGCTACTAATACTAGAAAACCACTGGTGTGGAGTAACCTCATTTTGCAGGCTAAGAAGCAAAGCTGAGTTGTAGAAATCACACGGGCTAATTCCTTGTTCTCTAAGTTTCACCTTCTCTTTCAGAAACCCTGAAGACAGCAGCAGATCGGCAGGCTGAGGAGCAGGTCCTGAAAAAGCTAGTAGATGTGGTGAACCAGCGGGATGCCCTCATCCGCTTTCAGGAGGAACGCAGGCTCAGCGAGCTGGCCTCAGAGACAGGGGCTCAGGGCTAGAAAATGGTGAGCTACCTACCTTCTTCCCTACAAGGAAGACAACCTCATCCCAGGACAGTGCCACCCCTGCTCATCTAGGCTGTCTGGGAGAGGCCTCACTGTTGACAATAAAAATATTTCTGCTACAGATAGGGTTTGATACATGCTGATGGGAACAGGGGAGGTGTGCAGGCGGGGAAGATATGTCACAGCCCTAATGTCTACATTGTGACAATCAAACTGATCCTAGGTTCTCATCAATGCCTCTACAAGGAAAAAGGCAGAGCCACTAAAATGTCAAGCTTTATTGATCCTCAGTTCTGTCCCCTCTCCTGCCCCAGGAGCAGAGCTAACTGACGCTCTGAGCTCAGGTCCTGGGCTTCCCTTTCCCTTCCAAGCACATGCTGGAGCTCAGTCTGGACCCTACACAAGCCTCTGGCCTCCTGCGTGTGGAAGAGGTAGACTGCGCCTGCCCCCAGCACCAGTCCTACATTGGGCGTCCAAAGCAGTATGGCCACTTCCCTGGCCCTTTCTTCTGCTACAAGGAAACAAAGCAACACCAGGAGAAGCAGCCCGACACCAATCACATTGCCAGCGAAGGCAGCCCACCAACGAGCCTGGGCTATACCCAGCCCCAGCTCTGTCCAGGCCTCCCTCAGCACACTGATCAACGGCAACCTCCCTGCTGGTCCTAGAACAAAGCAGGGCAGTGGGGTGAGAAAAGGTCAGAGTGGAGGGGCTGCCCTGAGACAGAGAAGAGCCAAGGGAAAGAGTGGGGTGACTCACCATAGGTAAAGCTGGGATTTTGCTGGAGGGGACTATGTCTCACACAGAGAGTAGCCATGAGGGCCTCATGATCAGAGAGGGGGGTGCCATTGTAGGGGCCATGGCCTGCAGTGGATTTGAGACTCTTACAGGAGATGCAGAATCCAGAAACCGCCTAAAGGGCCAGAGAGAATCTTATGTTGGAGGGCCTCCTCCCAGAGAACCAGCTTCCAGTATCCCATTCTCTAGCCATCAGTAATCTAAGACTAGACCAGCTGAACGAAGGATCAGAATAGGCTGGTGACAATAATAGACATAGTAAGTGAAGGCATGCTGTGGAGAGAGCCTGACCTTGTAAAGCACGTAGTCAATGCGGATGCCACATGGAAATGGCTCCAGATCCTTCTGGCTGACGTAATGGTTCTCGGGTACCATGGTATAGCCTTCTTCAAAGCCCTAGGGAGTAGCTGGTTCATGGTAGGATATGGGGCAGGAAGAGAGAGAAACTGGGAGTATAGGTGAGAAAACAGCTAGGTAGTTTCTCACCTTAAAATCCTGGGTCTCAAGGTAGGCATCATGCAGTCCTGTCCACTCCCTCAGCAGGCAGCAGCCCAGATCTTTTGGGTGCATGTTGAGGTCCCCACACAAAAGAACCACGTCTGCCTTCTTGGATGTGTGGCTGGTGAGCCAGGTCAGTGAGGAAGGAATTCTTCCCTTGCCCCCATTGCCCTAATCCTAGCCACACCTCAAACCCTGGGTCCCAACCCACTTCCCCTGTCAAGCCTAGGCTCACACACTGGATGAACTGGGCCAGTTCCCAAGCTTGGGCCACACGATGTGCTAGGTAGATGTCCTTCTGTCGGCTGTACTCGGCATGGAGCTGAGTGAGATAGATGAGATTATAGCAGTAAGATTAAGGGTCCCAGGAGCCTGTGTAAATCAAGCTTGTGTCTGTCACTAGTTAAGGTATTTGGTACACAATGGGTAAATCTTGCCCTATTGCTACCTTAGGAAACCCTTACCCGATAGCTCCTCCTCAGATACATAGCAGAGAAATCCCACCTCAGTTCCAGGATTAGAATGCCTGTCCAAGCCCTAAGCACTGGTATCTTCACTTACGTGGGTCACATAGGCATTGAGCACAAGTCCACTTAGATGGAACACCAGGAGTCCTACAGCCTTCCCACAGAACCAATCACCATGATGGATCTGCAAGCAGGAGGAGACAGGAACTCATGGCACTGCCACCTTCCATCTGCCCAGCCTCTGTAGCTCCAGGAAGTCTGCCTTCTCTACCTTGTGTTAGTGGGGGTGAGGAGGGAGGCTTACTTACCATGTAGGGGTAGCCATTGAGGGTGTAGACATGCTGGATGATTTCCTGGATTGGGTGTTTGGAGAAGACACAGAGGCCACTGCCAATGATTCCGCTGTAAGCCAAGCCCTGCTTAATAACCAGAAAAGGTGGGAAACACCCAGCCCACTTCTCTCTCATTTCCCAGCTCTGATGAGCTCCTCTCTCTCTACTGCTGGGACCAGTCTCAGAACAAAGCTCAAGACAACAGCCTCTGCAGGAGGATGAGGGGGCTGCCCGATAATAGGCGGAGATGGGCTGAAAAGATACAATGTTCCCAGTTCACCCTCTCCTGCTCCTTTACCCAGAGAAGGAGGTAGGCAGGTGCAGGGAAAGGGAAGGGTTGGCAGGATCAAGAACCCTCAAGTCTGAGAACAGATTCAGGCCTGCAGGCTTCTCACCTCCTGAAGTAGTGTGCAGCTGGATAAGTGAAAGACAGTTTCTCTTTCAGGCACTGGAAGTCCTGCTCACTCCACACCTGAGGGAAGGATAAGCATGCCTGCCTGGCCTTTCCCCCAAGGGGTGGGTGTCTCCTCTAGCACCCCTTCCCAGAGCTCCTCCCAGCCTGGGATCCATATCAGAGATGCACATCCCCACCTCTTCCAGTAGAGCCAAGTCGAAGCTCTCCATATTCAGAAAGTCTCCCAGACGCTTCATGCGGTCAGAACGGTGCTTGCTCACGTAGGGAAGACCCCTAAGGAAGGGAAGGGAAAGGCGGGCCAGGGAAAGTGACTGCTAGTACCACTGGAGTTGGGGCCGATACGGGCGACCTGTCGGTTCGAGTTTCCCCTACACCCGAGATCCTGGAGGCAGGATGGGGTCGTGATCCAGCTGTGAGGAAGGGCTCCCTCCTCCCTCTGGCTGTGCGGATGCGAAAGGGAAGGAGGCCCCCAGGCAGCACTCGGCCGGCGAACTCACCAGCAGTTGAGGTTGAAGACCCTCAGGCGCAGAGAGAAGTTGGGCTTCATGGCGGGGATGTTCCGGGGCGGGAGTCAGTTTGCTTCCCCGAGACGGCCCTGGCGGGGGCGAGAACAAAAACAGGCGAGTGGTGCCTTCTCCCCGGGCGATGCCAGCCGGGACCCCGCACTCCCCACACCCACGCAGCTCCGGCCTCGGGCTGATTCCCGTGTTACCAGCACAACCCGCCCGCTGGCCTAGATAAGGCTGCGCGCTAACCAGGAAAAGAGATCTGAGAAACCCGGCGTGCGCGGGCTGGAGAAGGATGCGCTCGAGGCCCCTGGGGTACCCGAGAGGGCTCCCGGGCGGGCGGCTCCGTGATCCTTTGCCCCGAGGCTGGTTCCCGGCAGCCGCAGCCCACAAATCCCTCGGTTGGCCCCCTTCTCGGCCCGGGGCCTGGCTCACCAGCAACAGGCGGCAAGTTGAGAGGCCCCGCCCACGCCGCCGGCCCTTTGCTCCACCCTGCCCCGCCCACTGCTGGCGTCGGGGGCGGGGCCGCGAGGTTGCCGTGGCAACGCGTGTGTTTTTTGTTTTTTTTTTTTTGCTCGGGGTTAGTCTACTAGCTCCGCAATGGACCGCTTGCAGAGGTTGCAGCCCACTCCCGCCCCATGCAGCTCTAAGTCGCCGCCCGAGCGGCCGCTGCAGGTGAAAGTGGTGGGGATCTTCAAAAGCTCCAGCTTTCAGGTTGCGAAGTCTACTGCTGAGGTAACCGCAGGAAAACCCCCAATGCGGCGACCCTCCAGGCTTCCCGGCCTCGCGGCGTGGATTATGCGCCTCGCTGTCTGGTGCAGGCCGGTGGATGTTCTACTGGAGGAAGGTTTGGCTGGCTGGGACCACCCCGGGAGCGCAGAGAGGACACATTCGGGTCAGGGGCGGGCATTTGGCTTGGAGTAGGGTGACGTGTAAAGGGAGATCCCAGCAAAGGAAGTATTCAGAACCTTCCTGGGAAAAATAGTAATTACTACTCCTACGTATTTACACATTTTATTCCACATTAATTTTAAAAATTGAATTACAGATTTATTAAAACTCATGACAAAAAAGTTTAAAGTGTTACTCTAACTCGTGGATTTTTACAAACTCCTTCCCCAAGTGATTTTCGAAAACTATTCACTTGGTAAGATTTTTTTTTTTTAATTGCTATAACAATCACTACATTCTGGCAGAAAAAAATGCCTCACGGATTTCTTAACAAGTGGCCCCAAGTGCTTTGAACAATCCCAAAATTTCTTTGTAAATATGCAAAATGGCTTAAAAAGAAACCACTGAAAGAAACTGAAGAATTTGGCCATGTCACTCATACTGCCAGTGATGAAATGTTGAAATGTAATATTCCACTGGTCTTTGGGGTTTGTTGCAAAAGTACTCGCCAAGCCAAGTTTCTCTTCAAAGCCTCACTAGACCCCACAAACATGTCTTATTGGTATTTTTATCTACCAAAGTATCCTGCTGGATATTGGATAACAAAATGTTATTCCATATAGAATTCATCTTAAGCAGGCCTTCTTGCCTGTTCCAGAATCTACAGAGTAAAATTTAAAAAATAACTTGCAAAATAAGGAAAGTTTAAGTGAAGAAAACAGGTGTTGGGACATCTATGAATATAATACAGGTTGATCAAAAGAAGTGGAAATTATGGGCTGATGGGGCTAGTAACATTTTATGTCCAAAATTTTATTTAATAAGAACGTTCTTGTTTTTCTTAGCTCCTTTTCTGAAGGCCCATGTTTTCTATGCCTGGTAGTAAATATAAGTGGGCCATAGGGTCTCAGTCACAAGTATTCAACTTTGTCCTGATATTATAAAAGTAGCCACAGATATATAAATGAATGGTGGTGTTCCAATAAAGCTTTATTATGAACACTGAATTTTCACATGACATGAAATATGACTTATCTTTTGATTTTTTTCAATATTTGCAAATCTAAAAATTAATCTTGGCTTTCAGGCCTTACAAAATAGGCAGTGGACCAACCCCTGCTAAGTCAAGAAAACAATATCTTTGATATGTTAATAATGTAATTTCCCCTTTCTTAAGCTTTTGCCTACAGTAACACTATCAAATATGAAAACATATCAGTGTAAATTCAGTTAGTTCTGTCTTAACAGAGGTTATGTGATTATATTCCTGGCATGATCATTTATGAGCAATCTCAGATCCCTGATTTGCTATAAAAGATTAAGATTCATAAAGGGTAAGGATAAGTAGGTATATTTTAATTTGGACGTAGTTGATTCCAGACCAAATGCTAAATTATAAAGAAAAGTATGATGTGCTTAATTTGAATACTACTGGGTTTGCTGGTTACTCCAGTTAATTCCTCAGTTAGAAACAGCAGTCATCCTGTAGGATTTCATCAAACAGAGCACAGAAAGTGGAACTGAGCAACCAGACATTGTTGTTTTTGTTGGATACAGTAGTCTAAGAAGGAAATGGCCCTACCACTGTTTTCCTCTTTTGCTCTCCGGAGTCCCAAAGTAGTACGCACTTATGTCCTGGATTTCTTGCCCTTGGAATACTCACCCCTGATGAAATGTGCCAAATTAGTGCCCTTTCAGTCCACAACAGGGTCTCTAAGCACCAGCCTCACTTTGACAAGGTGCCTACTCCAGCAGCTATTACTTTTTCCCAGTTGGCCCAACCACTTCTCAGACCTGCTGGGAAAGTGGGGCCTAATTGTTGTTGCTTCCACTGCCTTCTCTTGCTTTAGGGGGATATAGTGAAACTAATATCAAGAACAAAACTTTTAAAAATTATTCATTTGTTTATTTTAACTAGGTATATATGACAGCAGAATGCATTTTGACTCATTGTACACAGCTGCAGCACAACTTTTCATTTCTCTGGTTGTACAGGATGTAGCGTTGCACCATATGTGCAGTCATACACGTACCTAGGGTAATGATGTCCATCTCATTCCACCATCTTTCCTGCCTCCATACCCCTGCCTCACCCCCACTTTGCCCAATCATAGTTCCTCCATTTTTCCTATGCTCCCTAGCCCCCCTGCTCATTATGGATCAGCATCCACTTATCAGAGAGAACATTTGGCCTTTGGTTTTATGCATTAGCTTCTTTCACTTACCGTGATATTCTCCAACTCCATCCATTTACCTGCAAATGCCATAATTTTATTTTCTTTTAATGCTGAATAATATTCCATTGTGTATATATACCACAGTTTCTTTATCCATTCATCTATTGAAGGGCATCTAGGTTGGTTTCACAGTTTAGCTATTGTGAATTCAGCTGCTATAAATATTGATGTGGCTGCATTACTATAGTATGCTAATTGTAAGACCTTTGGGAATAGACTGAGGAGTGGGATAGCTGGGTAAAAAGGTGGTTCCATTCCAAGTTTTCCAAGGAATCTCCCTACTGCTTTCCAGATTGGTTGTACCAATTTGCAGTCCCACCAGCAATGCATGAGTGTGCCTTTCCCCCCACATCCTCGCCAACACTTATTGTTGTTTGTATTCTTGATAGCTGCCATTCTGATTGGAGATGAAATCTCAGCTTAGATTCGCATTTCTCTAATTACTAGAGATGTTGAACATTTTTTCATATATTTGTTGATCGAATGTATATCATCATCTGAGAAGTGTCTGTTCAGTTCATTAGCCCATTTATTGATTGGGTTCTTTGCTTTTTTGGTGTTATGTTTTTTGAGTTCTTTATATATCCTGGAGATTAGTGCTCTATTGGACGTGCATGTGGCAAAAATTTGCTCTCAAAATGTAGGCTCTCTCTTCACCTCATTGATTTTTTCTTTTGCTGAGAAGCTTTTTAGTTTGAGTCCATTCCATTTATATATCTTGATTTTATTTCTTGCGCTTTAGGAGTTTTGTTAAGGAAAGTCAGGGCCTACTCAGCACTAAAAAATAATAAGATCATGGCATTTGCAGGGAAATGGATGGCATTAGAGCAGATTATGCTAAGTGAAGTTAGCCAATCCCTAAAAAACAAATGCCGAATGTCTTCTCTGATATAAAGGGGGGGGTGACTCAAAATGGGATAGGGAGGAAGAGCATGAGAAGAAGATTACCACTAAATAGGGAAGAGAGGTGGGAGGGAAAAGGAGGGAGAAGGGGAGTTGCACGGAAGATGGAAGGAGACCCTCATCGTTATACAGAATGCATGTATGATGTTGTGAGGAGAAAAAAAAGTGTGTCACATTAGATTGGATAGAGAGAAATGATGGGAGGGGAGGGGAAGAGTAGGGGGGATAGGAAGGGTAGCAGAATAAAATAGACATTATTATTGCTGTATGTATATATGTGACTGCATGACCAATGTGATTCTGCAACCTGTACAAAGAAAAGTGAGAAAATATACCCCATTTGATTCAAATGTATGAATTCTCAAGATCATTGTACTGTCATGTGTAGCTAATAAAAAAATAATAATAAATAAATAAATAAAAAGGAAGTCAGGGCCTAATCCGACGTGATGAACATTTGGGCCTACTTTTTCCTCTATTAGGTGGAGGGTCTCTGGTCTAATTAAAAGTTTTAAAAAAAATTTTTTTTTGTAGTTGTAGATGGACAGAATGCCTTTATTTTATTTGTTTATTTTTATGTGGTGCTGAGGATCGAAACCAGTGCCTCAAGCATGCTAGGCAAGCACTCTGCCACTGAGCTACAGAATTGCTAACCTGTAAGAGTTTTCTTTTTTTTAATTTATATATGACAGCGGAATGCATTACAATTTTTATTACACATATAGAGCCCAATTTTTCATATCTCTGGTTATATACAAAGTATGTTCACACCAATTCATGTCTTCATACATGTACTTTAGATAATAATGATCATCACATTCCACCATCATTAATTACCCCATGCCCCCTCCCTTCCCCTCTAACCCCTCTGCCCTATCTAGAGTTCATCTATTCCTCCCATGCTCCCGCTCCCTATCCCACTATGAATCAGCCTTCTTATATCAAAGAAAAACATTTGGCATTTGGTTATTTGTGATTGGCTAACTTCACTTAGCATTAGCTTCTCCAACTCCATTAATTTACCTGCAAATGCCATGATTTTATTCTTTTATTGCTGAGTAATATTCCATTGTATATATATGCCACATTTTTTAATCCATTCATCTATTGAAGGGCATCTAGGTTGGTTCCACAGTTTAGCTATTGTGGATTGCGCTGGTATAAACATTGATGTGGCTGTGTCCCTGTAGTATGCTGTTTTTAAGTCCTTTGGGTATAGACAGAGGAAAAGGAATAGCTGCATCAAATGGTGGTTCTATTCCCAGATTTCCAAGGAATCTCCATACTGCTCTCCATATTGACTGTACCAGTTTGAAGTCCCACCATCAATGTATGAGTGTACCTTTCCCCCCACATCCTCATCAACACTTATTGTTGTTTGTCTTCATAATAACTGCCATTCTAACTGAAGTGAAATGAAATCTTAGAGTGGTTTTTTTAAAAAATATTTTTATTAATTATAGATGGACACAATACTTCATTTATTTACTTATTTTAAATGTGGTGCTGAGGATCGAACCCAATGCCCCACACATGCCAAGCAAGTGCTCCACCACTAAGCCACAATCTCAGCCCTTAGAGTGGTTTTGATTTGCATTTCTCTAAAGCTAGCAATGATGAACATTTTTTTTCATATATTTGTTAATTGTATATCATCATCTGAGAAGTGTCTGTTCAGTTCCTTGGCCCATTTATTGATCGGGTTTTTTTTTTTGTTTTGTTTTTGTTTTTTGGTGTTTAACTTTTTGAATTATTTATATACCCTAAAGATTAGTGCTCTATCTGATGTATGAGGGGTAAAAATTTGCTCCCAAGATGTAGACTCTCTATTCACCTCATAGATTGTTTCTTTTGCTGAGAAGAAGGTTTTTATTTTGAGTCCATTCCATTTATTGTTTCTTGATTTTAATTCTTGTGCCAAAGGAATCTAATTAAGGAAGTTGGGGTCTAATCCCACATGATGGAGATTAGGGCCTACTTTTTCTTCTGGTTTTATTCCTACATCCTTGATCCATTTTGAGTTTTGTGCATGGTGAGAGATAGGGGTTTAATTTCATTTTGTTGCATATGGATTTCCAGTTTTCCCAGCACCATTTGTTGAAGAAGATATCTTTTCTCCAATGCATGTTTTTGGCACCTTTGTTTAATATAAGGTAATTGTAATTTTGTGGGTTAGTCTCTGTGTCCTCTATTCTGTACCATTGGTCTACCAGTCTGTTTTGGTGTCAATACCTGTAAGAATTTTCTATAGTCTAACGTATATAAGGCTCTGAGCATGATCCCCAATACCATCTAAATAAATAAATAAATTTTTTCTGTGATTCATACAAAAAATTGTATGTTCAACCAAAACATACTCAATACTATACCTAAATTCTACACCTAAATTTATTTAGTATTTACTTATCTTTTTCCTAAGGGGTATAACCACAGTATCCTTTTGATCTCCTTACATCAGTGAATTACAGCAGTAATATTTACTTATTTTCATTCAAGTAAACTAACTAGAACCACTGAGATTTAGCAAGAGTTTAATTTAAGGAAAAATTTGTCCTGAAAGAAGCAGATCACAAAACTATTGGCATAAACTCATTTGTTTTTTCAATTGTCATGAGTGAATGATTTACCATGAGCCAGATTCGATAGTAGAAGGACATACAGGAAGGCCAAGACATAGTTCTTGCCCTCAGGAGCTTATATTCTAGAAGTCAGAGACAAATAAGCTCCGTGTCCTAGTGTGGGCAGAGAGCAGAACAGGGCATCTCAGTCAGACTGTGGCCTAGGTATAGGCTGCATAAAACTTTCTGGAGACTCCATAAAAATTTGGGGAAATGATTTTGACTTTAAAAGAGAATTCATTTTAAACTAACTATTGTATTTTGAAACCTAGAGTCTGAAGATGAATTATCCATCCAAATTTGAAGATCCTATAATGGTTCCTCTTCAAGAATTTGCATGGTATCAATATCTGCAGGAGAAAAAAAGGGTAAAGGATATTTGGGACATGGGGGATGTTGACAACAAGCAAAATTTAGCCTGAATTATTTATCTGTGCGTTGTTTTGGGAACAAAATGAAAGTTATTTTTAATGAAACTAGATTTTTAAAAAATATTTATTTTGTAGTTATAGGTGGACACAATATCTTCATGTTATTTTTATATGGTGCTGAGGATCAAACCCAGTGCCTCACTCATGATAGGCAAGCACTCTACCTCTGAGCCACAGCCCTAGCCCTATGAAACTAGATTTTTTTTCTCTAAATGATGTGCTTTTCCTAAATGATTTCAATCATTTTACTAGATGGACTTTTTTTTAAAAAAACTAGAATATTTACCAAATTTTCCTTTGGAGAACATGTGATAAAGGTAAGTTTAAAATCCTCCGTGGTGTTATTTATCCCTGCTGATGGTTAACCCTCTCTTCCTGTGATAACCTGGCACTCAAGTTGCTGTGGCCTGGCTCTTACTCTGGAAGGAGCCGGTGTTGTACATCATACAGATAGCCGAGGGTTTGTGTGACACTGTTGCACAGAGGCACTTGTATGACAGCCTGAAGCTCTCACAGGGCATCCTGTCTCAGTTGGTGCTCCTTTTTCCCCATTCTCCCTTCTGCCATTACCCTTGGAAAATCCCAGACTTCAGGGCTAGTGGAGCTTGTCCAGGGATGGTAGATAGGGCTCCTCTTTTGTGCCACCCTGGTCTCTCTATAGTTGTGCCTGGAGCATGTGAAAAAGAGAAAAGAAGGTGGTGATCTGGCTCAGCAATCTCTCATGCTGGGGCGTGTAGAAAGGGTTCTACTTCCTGCTTCTTTTTCCTGGTTTAGTCCTGCACAGGATTCCCAGTCCTGGTTTCTGTGCTCCACCTCGTTTCTCCAGTAGATGATGAAATTTCCATTTCCCTGATCTGAGCAGTTTCAGTCGTTCAATGCTTGGTTGCATAAGGATATCCTGTGATCCTGTAATTAGGTTCAATGTAAATAGTGTTGCTTTATAAGACCACTTCACTCTCTCTTCAGTCACGTGAATGTTGCAAGACTGAGTCAAGAATACCAAGAATAGGCTGGGCACCACTGCATATGCCTGTAATCCCAGCAGCTCAGGAGGCTGAGCCAGCCTCAGCAAATTATCGAGACCCTAAGCAACTCAGCAAGACCCTGTCTCTAAGTAAAAAATAAAAAAGGGAGGGAGATGTAACCCAGGAGTTAAATGCCCCTGGGTTCAATCTCTAGTACCAAAAAAAAAAAAAAAAAAAAAGAATAGCATTTGTTAAGTCTCATCATACTTTTGTAGTCATTTTCATAAGAATTCACAAAGAACAATGGTAAACACATATATATGTGTATGTGTATACATGTGCATGCGCGCGCGCGCGTGCGCACACACACACACACACACACACACACCTATTCCTTACACAACTGGGGTTACCAATGGTCCTAGCTGCCTGAGACTGAGAGGTTTCCTGGAATGTAGGACAGTCACAGGCAAATTGGAACAGTTCATCACCCTAACATAAACAATACTTTTTCTAAATTTTTATTATCAAACATAATACTGCCTTCCAGTCTCATGCCCTCTGCCTATAGGAAAACTGTGATGTCATGGTCTGTGGATTGCACCTGGTCCTCTTGTACATTCCCATTGTCCTCTTAAAGACCAGTTAGCTGGACACAGTGATTTGGGGTTCAATGCTTGGAGGCAGGAAGATCACAAGTTCAAGGCCAACCTGGGCAACCTAGTGAGACCCTGTCTCAAAAAAAAAAAAAAAAAAAAAAAAAAACTAAAGAGGACTGGGGATGTACTCAGTTGTAGAGAACCCCTGGATTCCATCCCATCCCCAGTACTACGGAAAAAAAAAAAGTGTAAATTTTACTCGCCAGCCTCCTCCCTCTCCAATCTGCACTGCCTGGAGGTGATTTGTGCTCTCCTGCTGTCTTTCTCGTTGAGGCTTCCTAGTTAATCATGGCTGCTTCTTGCCACCTATACTTTATTCCTTATCTTTACTTTCTTTTCTCTGCCACACTCATCCTCTGGATATCTGTCACCTTAACCTTTTCTTCCTTTTCAAGTCAGTCTTTTGGTCCTTCTTTAATGAGAGCTTTGTGTCTTATGTTATATGAAGTGCTTCTTAGTGCATGTGGTCTTACTGAATCAGTTCATTAGGCCAGCTGGCCTTATGCTTCAGCAGAATTTAATGCCCCTCTCAAGGGATGGCTTCAGGTCTTTGGAAGGGCCTCTCTCTCCCCTCTAAAAAAGGCTGCATCATAGATCCTGGATGAAAAGTCCTAGAAACTACCAGGTCCAGTCTGCTATCTTGAGGCAAGCAAGGAGTCTCCTTATGTACAGAAGAGGCAGAGATAAGACATTTTAACCTTTAGCCTCTAAATAAAACGTACCATCTACTGCATTTCTCCCATAAGGCTAACTAAAATGTTCATGATTAGATTTTTTTCTTCCTTTTTGGGTTTTGGGTCTAGAAAATATAATACTGATAAATTGAACATTCTAGGAACTATTGACACATAGTTTCTATCAATGATTTATGGTAGAACATGAAGAAGTTTTTCTCTGCCAGGAAGCAGGTTTTGAGAGGATCATGGGAAACAAGCAGCAGGATATAAATCTTGTGGGAGAAGCTGGGAATGGCCAAGTTGGCAAGTTGGAGGCAAACTGTTCCCTCAAACTTATTTTTTTAAGTACAGTCTCCAGACCAGCAGCATCAGTGTCTCCTTGGATGTTTAGAAACGCAAATTCTAAGGCCCCATCCCACAATCAGAAAGTCAGATGGGCCTTAGGAATCTGTGATTCCAAAGCCCACTACAGTTTGAGAATGGCTGTACAAAGATATTCATGGTTTTCCACAGCTGGCACTTGATAATCGGCAGATTTCAGAGGGGATGTAACTCAGTAGCCATGCACTAAGGATTCAGGAGGTTGACCAGCAGCATTTTGTGGATGAAGACACTGACACATTTATTTAGAGGGGCTTCTTCATTGCCTGACTGGGTTTTGAAAATCCCTGCTGGCCTCTCAGGAGGCATTTTCCTAAAGGTTAGCCCCTCCATTTTTGCCCTCTATACCAAAAAAAAAAAAAAAAAAAAAAATTCTCTTAATAGTTTGCATTGAAAAATCATCCCTTAGCTGGACATCGTGTAATTCCAGCCTATAATTCCAGCAGCTCTGGAGGCAAGATTACAAGTTCAAAGCCATCTTTAGCAACTTAGTGAGGCCCTAAACAACTTAGCAAGACCCTGTCTCAAAATACAAATATTAAACAGAGCTGGGGATGTAGCTTAATGGTTAAAGCACCCCTGGGTTTAATCCCCAGTACTAACAAAGAAAAGAAATAAAATCATCCCTTACCCAGAATCCCTAGCCTTCCCAAGCATGCACATAGTAAAATGTGTTTGGTAAATGAAGACAGAGACTGCTCTTTTCTTCTTCCCCTCTGGTATTTAACCCAGGGACATTCTACCACTGAACTACTCACATCCCTATCCCTTTACTTCATTTTGAGAGAAGGTCTCACTAAATTGCGAAGATCACCTTTAAACTTGTGATCCTCCTGCCTCAGCACCCCAAATTGCTGTGATTATATGTGTATGCCACCTTGCCTGGCCAGAGTTGCACTTTGTTTCTGAGTTAATATAATAAGTATGCTCAGCATATTAAGATTAGTTTTTTAAATAATTCTGTGCTTTCATGATCTTTGATTACTTAAAATATTCTTAAATTCTCTTTCACTGAAGACTTTTGAAAGATGGTAAAAGCATATTTTTAAAATATTCAATCCTAGAGTTGATTCCAAATTCTGGCTTATGGATAGAAGTTGTTTGTTTGTTTTCTTTCCTTCATTACATTTTTTTTTGTCTTTTCCTATAGGAACTCAAGGATGAAACATGGGAATATTCTTCCAATGTGATGTGTTTTATTAATGATAAATTCCTCGGTGATGCATCTGATCTGCAGAAATGGGCCCACAAGGTGTGGGATATAGTTGATATTAAGCCCCCTGCACTTTATGAGGCACTTACTGTGGATTTTTCCACAAAATTCTTGAGAGACACCAAGGCAAGTTATATTGATTTATTTTTTTACAAAGTAAAATAGTGAAATTTTTGATCATTTATGTTACCTCAGCATTCATTATTCATATTCTAACAAAAGGAATATAAAAGGTAGGAGCCATGGGTATAAGCCTTTGGTGACTATTAAGATTCATTTGCAAAAGACTGTAGGAAGGCAAAGTTTGGCTTGGTGCTATAGAGCAAGCGTTATTTCTCAGTACGTAAGCTGCATGGGGAGAACTCTCTGCTCAAACATTTCTCCTCCATTTTATAGATTTATTTGCATGAATTATCCACTTTAAAATATACAAACCCCTGTCTGCACTTCTTTTTTTATTAATTTATTTTTTAGTTGTAGCTGGACACAATACCTTTATTTTATTTAGTTATTTTTATGTGGTGCTGAGGATAGAACCCAGGGCCTCACATGTGCTAGGCGAGCGCTCTACCACTGAGCCACAACCCCAGCCCTCCCTGTGTGCACTTCTGTAGTCCCATCAGCTAGAGAGACTAAAGCAGAAGGATCTAAGTTCAACACCAACCTGAGCAACTTATCGAAACCTTGTGCCACAGTAAAAAATAAAAGGGACTGGGGATGAAGCCTAATAGTAGAATTCCCCTGGGTTCAATCTCCAGCATGCCAAAAAAAAAGAAAGAAAGAAAGAGGGAGAAAGACAGGGATAGGGAAAAAGAAGAGAAAGAAGAAGAAGAAGGAAAAGGAGGAAGAAAAGTAAAGAAGGGAAGAGGAAGGAAAGGGGGGAAAAGTGTGAGATTTTAAAGCATGACACATAGTTGGTGAGAGCAGACCTCACAGGCACTGGCAGTTTCCAGTGACAGAGGATGGTGAGAAACATGAGGTCCAGGGAGGTGAGAGACAGGCATTAGGATGGCAATACAGGTAAAGATACTTTGTAATTTTGCTCTGAGACTTTGTTGTACTGACAACTATCACCTCCTGGAAATCATTTTAAGCCCATGGTGGCCTGTATACACAAAGTGACACATTGCTAGGATCTGAAATATGCAAAGGCAGAGACCTTGCTTTATGGATCCTCATTTAACTACTACCTTGAACCAAAATGAAACATTGTGGGTGCTCAGTGAATGTTGGGTTGAATAAGCAGTGCAGTTTGAAAATGCTAGAAGCTCTGGGGTGTATGGAGAAATGTTCAAGGGTCAGAAGTCTGAAAGTACATGGTATATTCTGGGAATGATGGAACAACAAGGAAGCCATAAATAGTAGGAAATGAGACAAGGAAATGAGAATATCAGCCAAGACTGTTGGTGCCAACAGCACCAAGCTACTTAAGGAAAGGGTATGTATTGAAATTATGTTGGTTATCTGACAGTTGACAGGAAAGCTGGAGAACCTGCTTTGAAAAACAGGTAACCAAGGAAGGCCAGATAGGTAAAAACATGGCAAGAGTTATGTGGCAGGAATGTGTCCCAGGATGTTGCTGCAGGCAGGTGCTGCTGGCTTTAAATTCACAGAGCCACGGTCATTGAGACCTGGACTGCCCTTTTGTCTCTGTACCACTCCTTGGAGCTCCAGGGCCCCAGGCAGGAGGACTTGTCTGGCAAGCCCCAGTTTTATTGCCACAACCTGGTTGTCATAGGCTGGGGGAGAGGGAGGATCTGGCCCCTTTAGGTTCTAGTGAGAGCAGTTGGGCCCTGCAGGGAATTTCCCACCAGAAAGAGTGTTCAGAAGTTAAGAAAAAGGAGAAAAAAAAAATAATAGATAATAAAGAAATTATAATTTCTCAGCCAGATTATGATTTACTGTCCATTCTGAACCAAGGAGCCAGATTTTATCCAGAAGGAAACCAAGCCAACAGAACTTTTCATAAAAAGAGTGTGTCATATCCTTTTTCCTCTTTTAGAAAAAAATTTAGGACCGTGCCAAAGCAGGCCGAGCAGGGTAGCTGTTTGGAAAGTTGCTATAGTAGCATGGGCCAGGAATAATGAAAGCCTGGATTAATTGGTGGCAGTGAGGATGGAGGTCCTTGATTCCAGAGAAGAGCCTGAGAAGTAGAACTTTTCTTGCTGAGTCAAACCCAGGGACTTGTTTACTTCCAGGTTAGAACCATATGCTAAACAAGTATGTTTATATGTTTGGTTGCTGGTGACTAGGAAATTACCTGGTGTTGCATTTATTAGATCTCTTCATCAGCATTTTCAGAATTATATACTCTTGGCAACCACTAAAGATAACCTATTGATGAACGTGGAAGTTTAATCATGCCTGAATGAACTTATTTATTTTCTCAGTCAATCATGACTTACATTATAGACTTTTTTCCTCTTAAACTGTGAAGTTTACTATGTTTCCCATTCTTCATTTATAATATTCTCTTTTATAATTAAGAACTTGTGCAGAAACTGAGAAGCCCTAACAAGTTAATTATAGTGACATAAATAATATATTTTAAGATGATATCATTTACGTTTCCCAGATTCTTAAGAAAGAGGTTAGGCCAAGTTATGCACCTCATTAAAAAAAGGTGGCACTTTGGTGTATATGAATATGGTATCCAAGATTTAGAGTACTCCATTAGCTGTGCTATGGCCCCTAAGTGAAAGCTATATTAATGAAGACTAGTGTTTTCAGTTCAGATGCTTCTTTAAAGTATCAGACAAGGTCTCGAAAATAGTCATCTCTACTGGTAAGGGTACTAAGTGAAAACAAGAGCTGGAGGCAGTTGTGCATGTAAGAGAATTTTTGAAGATGACTCAGTCTCCTTCTCTTCCCTACCCCTAGTGCCACACCTCCTATAGATATAGAGGCCTCATTTTTCCACTTGGAAAGCTAATTTGTGCTGTGCTTGGCTCTGGCTAACTAATCTGTGCTCTCTGAAAATCCAGAACACCTGGTAACCAAATCCATGGCACTCAGGATGGATGTTTTCTCAGAACTATTCAGGAAAGAAAACAGAAGTAGAAAAGAATTCCCAGTCTGTTTCTTTTCCCAGGGGAACTGACCAGTTTCCCTTGCCTTGTGGAATTTGTGATGTGGTGGATAGCTAGGCCGTGTGTTCTCATATCCTGTGGTCAGTTAACATTTTTCAAAACCTCACTACTGAAAGGTTTTAAAAATATATAATGAAAAACAAAGTTTTTAAAATATGTCATGTGAGTTGTAAAGACTTGGTAAAAGAAAATAAAATGATCTTTGTCATTCATTTGATTTCTCTGTTATTTATTGGTAATGCTATTAAAGTTTTATCACTGAAAACATTTCTGTTATATTTTTGGTCATTTCTATAACTTTCTATAACATTTCTATAAAATTGACCTGCATTATCTTTTTCTCCCTAATTTTAATAGCATGTTTTTGTATTCTTGGACATTAAGATTAATTTTTATCCAATTGGACGGTTGATTTTTGAGGTAAGAGAATGTTGCCTTTTTAAAAAAAAGTTGGGAAGCATCTATGATTGTTAAGATGTTAAAATATTTCATCTTTGAAACCTTTCGTCTTTATTTTTTAGCTATATTGTGATGTATGTCCCAAAACATGTAAAAATTTTCAGTTCCTGTGCACAGGAAGAGCAGGGTTTTCTCAAAGTGGCATAAGGTTACATTATAAAGATTCAATTATTCATCGAGTGGTACAAAATGGTTGGATACAAGGAGGAGGTGAGTTTAAATTCTTACATACAACTTAATTGCAAACCCAGAATTTTATTTGGCTACTTTTATAAAATGCATATAGAATTAGATATTCTCTTATTTATTGGTGTATATTAATTACATAAAATAGTGGGTTTCATGGGTCATATTCACATACAAATAACAATAATAGGTATGTGCATATAAAAGAATTTGGTTACTATTACTCTCTAATAATTAGATAGTCTTAATTTTAAATATGTACTTAAAGTATGTTTATATAGCCAAATGATAAATTAAGATATTTGTATTGCTTTATACAGATCACTAATTATTTTTTAAAAACACTTACATTACCAGGAATATTCTAAATTAAAAAGTATGGTGACTTTTTTTAAAAAATCAAAAAATAATTTTAAATTCTCAACTAAATACATGAAAGTAATTAATCTGAAACACAGTGCTTTTGAGAAATATGTTAAGGGTAGAAATTTGAAAATAAAATAAATGGAAAATAATTCATTTATTGCCAAACACATTACATTGTTACTAGTGAAAAGTATTATCTGAAGGATTTTGGTCTCCATTTGTGTTTCTTTTCAGGTCAATCCTTTGGCTTTCCTCAGAGTAGGTGCCTGATTAACAGCACAAAATTAAATTTTGAAGGGCTTTTGGAAGATATTCCATAGGGAGAAATCAGGCAGCAATTTAAAAATAATTGAGTTAGTGTAGAAGGAGATTTGTTTGAACTTGATAACATATGCAGAAGCTTAAATTGATGTTTAATTTTTTAGTATGATCTGTAATATTTTGAGACTGATGAGGGGGGGTTATTTCAAGATTTATTTCAAGTCTTTTGCATGTAAAGCAGGTATTCTTTCCTCAATCTCTGCAAAATGAGATCATATCACAAATACTGTTATCTAACCTTAATTTTTTTTCCACTTTATATGAAGTATTTATCTTCCCAAAGAACATAAACACAGAAAATTTTTGGAGTCTTCCCAGTCTTTTATAATATTGTTAAATAATTTTAATTTCCTACTGGTAAACATTTTGATTATTTTCCATGTTTTGTTTGTTTGTTTTGTTTTGTTAGTATGAAACAATCCTTAAGGGAACCAACATCAGGGTTTCTAATACTTTTTATTGGGGGGGGGGGGGTGTACCAGGGATTGTTACCACTGAGGGCTCCTGGTTCTGAGCCTGATAGTGACTCTCCCAGGCCAGGATCTCAGATGCTCAGAAATTTGAAAATAAAATAAATGGAAAATAATTCATTTCTTGCCAAAGACATTACATTGTTACTAGTGAAAAGTACTATCTGAAGGATTTTGGTCTCCATTTGTTTTTGATTAAACTCCCCCAGAGCAAGATTTGGGAAAAGTAGGTCATATTATTTGTTTGGGGTTTTTGCAGTAAAATTTCTAAATAGTAAAGTGCACACATTTTGAGAATTAAGAACAGTTTAGGGAAAAATGAGATTGCTAGATTGAAATCTAAACTTTGATACATATAAATTGTACCACCTTAGATATGCACTTAGCATCTCTGAATCAGTTCCTTAATCATAAAATGGGGATAATTATAATAATATTAAAGTTTGTGGTAAGTATTCAGTAACATGGAGAACTGAAAGTGCCAAGCTCTGTAACAGTGACTCCTGCTATTACATATAATTATTATGCCCAATAAAAAAATATGGAAAAAAAGTGCAAAGTCTGGACATTATCTTCTCCCTTCAGATGTTGAATTCCCCTAGAGCAATGTAGAATTGGAGAGCATATGAGCTAAATTTGGTTTTGTGTCATGCCTTAAAATGCTTTTAGGTATTGTTACTTAGTCTTTGGGACCAACAGACCTCACATTTCCACACTGCCTGCCCCTCCATCCCCCTCTTTTGACATCTCCCTCTTGCTCATTCTGCTCCACATATGGGCTCCCTTGATATTCCTTAAGCACATCAATTACAAGTTGGCCTTGAGGTCTTTCGTTTGTTTTGACTGGGACATACTCCACCAGCTATATCTCCAGATATCCCCTTGTTTCACGAACTTATTGGATTTTCCCTACAGTGAATCTCAGCAAGGACACCCTATTTAAAACTGCCACTTTCTGGAGCTGAGGTGGTGGCTCAGTGGAGGGCATTTGCCTAGCATGTGTAAGGCACTGGTTTCGATCCTCAGCTCCACATAAAAATTATATCCATCTACAACTAAAAAAAAAAAAAACAAAAACCCGCTACTTTCTTTCTTTATAGTGTTTTTCACCATTGGACATATTATAATAGTATGTCCAATATTTCTTGGATATGCAATTATGTGAATTATAAGACATTTGTCTAATGTCTGTTTCTCTTCACTAGAATATACATCCCATAAGGGTAGAGATTTTTATCTACTTAGTTCACTCTTGCATCCCATGTTCTAGCTAGAACAGTACCTAGCATAGTCTAGGTAGTTAACATTTGCTGAAAGAAAGAAAGAATGAATGAAGAAACACTTGAGCAGGAAGCATACATTGTCTTCATTTCAAAAGTACAAAGTTAAAGAAGATACCAAGTCAATATATCACTTCGGTCAGTTTCCCCTCTGTGACTCCCACAAGGCCTGACTTTAGAAGGGTCTCGGGATATAATTTAATACATCTTATTATTATCATCATCATGTTGAACATTATGAAGATGATGATAGTAAATGGATGCATTTTATAATCATGGAATTCTACACTGTAGTGGCAGCCACTGATGAATGAGCATGCTACCCTGCCAGGTACTGCCCTTCGTCATTTCACTTAATCCTAAGAGCCACCTGTGAGGCAGTTACTGGTATCTCTGTTTATACAGGCAAGGAAGAGGCTTGGGAAAAGTAACTAATGTCAAGATTTCAATCATAATCATCTGACTTCAAATTTACTTTTAGCCACTATTTGGCATCTCTAAATTTGTTGTCAGAGTTACAGGCATAATATCATATATAAGGCTGAATTCAACTGAGTGGGTTATGGCCACCAAAAATAGTAGTAAATACTGATTGAAATGGTGTCAATATAAACATTCATCTGGGACATCTGATGTGGAGGACAAGAGGAACTTTGGGGAGTGTAAGGTAGATGAGGCAAAGGAGTATGACTGATGTTAGGTAAGTTAGAAGGGGAAAGTATCCACCTGGGCAGACTTTCCTGAACAAAGCAGACTAGGATCCAAAGGATTGGAAATCAGAAACCTTAACTTCCCCATTTCCAGATTTAGCATTCAGACATTACATATCCATCGAGAATTTTAAGCCAAGTAGGGTTTTAGATTTAAGACTTTATCGATTAACCTCTGAACCAGTTTTACGAATAGTATAACTTAAATGCTACATTTTCTTTTCCAAATAAATTCTCTCCACGTGCTTAATGTTGTATCAGATTTCTTTAAAATTAGCAGACTTTTATTAGAGATGATTGCTCTTACTTGGCTAAAATAGTCCTTCAAAAAAGGTTTATTTAACACTATTAGAAGAGGGGGGTGGATCAGAATATTGAAAGAATACTGATGAGGAGTCTGGGGTATAGAAGACAGACATGTCTTCTTTTCAACTGTGGATAGATATAAAATAACTTGTGCCTGGAGTCTTTATAGTAGGAGCATGCCTAAGCCAAAATATGCATGTCTTATAAATACCTAAGAGAACCTCATTACATTATAAGGAATTTTATTTCCAAAATATTGGGGAAATGAATGTTATCTCAACAGGGGAACCACAGTAATGAAAATTTGAACATGTATTCTTTTTAGAGCACCTATTTTTAGTCACACTCTAAGAAGAACTTACTCTTCCTATTTTATCCTCCTAGCTTAATCTCCTTGTTTCTCTGAAAAGCAAGGAGGTCTATGGGATAACTTTTGAAGTAAGCAGAATTTATGTGAACACTTTTTAAAATCATGACCACAATGGTAACTTAATACTTCATTATTTCAAAGGTTTTGCACTGTAGTTTAAGCTACATCAGAGAGTTTTATAAGAATAAAATGGAATCCTGAAAATAAAAATCATTAAAAAATACACATGAAGTTATTATGGTAAAATTTTCATGGTTTAGATATTAAACAGGTGACTTACTCTAGATATTGGTAAAAGTATAATCATAATTTTAAAATATCTTTTCCCACCTATCATTACTACACTCTAACTTTTTTAACTTCAAAATTCTGTTTACTTACTGCTATTTCTTAGACATAGTAGCTGGAAGAGGAGATAATGGAGAGTCTATTTATGGACCAACATTTGAAGGTATGTGTTTTAAACATCTAGTTCTCTTAAATTTGAATAATCCACTAATACATTACTGACACATTTAAAGACACATAAGACTAGATTTTTCACAACTCCAAATAAGATAGTGTTAGGTACACACACGCACACACACACACACATATATCAGTATATATATATGTTAATATGTATATATCATATATTCATATATATTATTATATTTATACGTGTGCATATATATACATATAGTTAAAAATTATGGGGATAAGCCTGGTCCAGAACAATTTGAGCACATATTTTGTTTTACTTGCCTAATTATATTATTTCTTTATCCAGGATAAATCCCAGTTTATTAGCTACCTCATATTCTAACAGATTACAAGAACACAATGAAAGTTACTAAGGTCATGACAAAAGGCCCCAGAGGTTAATTTGAAGAGGCTGTCATGGCCAAAGATGGAATAATTTGAACTTCAAAAAGAATAGTAATAGCAATTGACCAAAACTTGTCAAATATTTTAATCTATGAGTTCATAATTATATTAAATTATTAAATAAAACCTAATTGGTTACCTTTGGGAGAATGATAGGAAAAGAATTCATTATCCTGAAAACCGCTAAAAATAGAGAAAAAAATCAAACATTTTTCCTGCTTTTCCTATATGAACTGTATGAACTTATAGATAAAGGAAAACATCTATTTCTTTAAATATTCCAATTAATAAATGAAAAGGAAATAATAGAATAGCACCCCTTTTGCTGCCTGCAGTGATATAATGCATGTAGGCATTTGCCGCATCAATATCTATTAATGTCCCAAATCAGAGACAAAAAAAATCAGAGACATTCTGTGCCTTCTGTTGAAAGAACACACTAGCGAAGGAACAGAACATGAGCCTGATTCTCTGGACCCAGCCAATGTTCAAGAAATACAATCCGTTCAGTTATAATGTGATATATATTACAAAGAAATATTTGCACCATATAACACCATGAAGTAAAAACTACAGGCAAAAATGTATGGTAAAAATGAGGTTACAAAAAGGTCATCAGTGTCACAATAAAAAACAAGACAGTAGGGGCTGGGTTGTGGCTCAGTGGTAGAGTGCTTACCTAGCATGTGTGAATGAAGTACTGGGTTCAGTTCTCAGCACCATATATAAATAAATAATATAAAGGTCCATTGACAGTACACACACACACACACACACACACACACAGTAATCTAAAAAAAAAAGTAACACTATTTTACATGTATTAAATGATCAAGAAACATAAATACTATAATAAATTTTACCTTGAAAAAGACTTGAAGTTTGTTGTGGAGGTGGGCATGGGAAGAGTTGATGCTTTGATTTGGTCAAAGTGGAAGGAAAGTTTTTGGAGATCAGAACAACCAAATGTGGGTGGGTGGGTGTTGAGACCACAGCCCACTTGTGCTAGGGCAGTGGGATAGGTTGCCAAGAGACCAAAAAAAGAAAAACCTGAAAACAGCATGTAAGATACAAGGCTTATTGAAAATGCTTACGCAAAAGGTTCAGTGGCAACAGGCTGGACCTTGGCACCTCTGTCTCTCACAGTGCTTCACCAAATAGTGCCTTCATCCCTCAAAAACTACTTCAGAAAGTCCACTTGATAGGCTGGACAGAGATCACCTCCATCCCTCATGGTACTTTGCCAAATAGCACCTCTGCCCCTCATGACACCTTATCCAGTGTCGGGGGGCTGGATGAATGGTACTAATCCTCTCCACAGTGTCCCCAGTTCTACACCAATTATCTCTGGGAGAGGTGTTTTGTAAGTTAGGCTACAGAAAAAGTGACATGATTAGTTTGCTTTGTTCCTTGTTTGACCAGCATTCCAAGGAACAGTTTCCTGGAATACATGCAAGAAAGCCATTCCTACAGATAACACTGACTTACCCTATTTGCAGTACACATGAGAAAGAGTCATTGTCCTTCAAGATAGTATTTATTTGGACATTCCAGTCTAGGCCCACTTACGTTGTTTTCTTAACTTGGTTAGGTTCTTGGGAATGGAAAGGGGCATTTCAGGGACACAGGGCTTCACCGCTCTCCTTTACTATTAAGGATGACATAGTGGGGCTCATGATTCGCCCTGAGGTAGCTGGTAGATGATTGAAATGTGTTTGTTCCATCTGGGTAGAGTTTTCATTCATCTTGTGTTTCTCAACGAGGAAGCACAGGAAATGGGTGAAATTCATGGTGTTCAAGTTGTTTCCATCAAGTTGAAACAATTTTGCATTTTGAAACAAGTGTTATAGCAGAGCTGATAGGACAGAGGACAGAAAAACATTCATCTTTCCACCACTATGAGAGAATATCTGAGATAATCAACTTAAAAGAAAGAAAGTTTATTTTGGCTCATGGTATCAAAGATTTCAGTTCATGGTTGGGGGGACCCATTGCTTTGGGGCCTGTGACAAAGCAAAACATTATGGTGGGAGCACATGGTGGCGCAAAGCTGCACACCTCATGGCAGCAGGAAGTGTGTATGTGTGTAAGAGAGAAATAGAGATATTGGACCTAAGATTCCACTATCCATCTCAAGGCCATGCTTTCATATCCCCAACGATCTGAATTTCTCCCACCTCAAAGATCCCACCACCATGGGGCGGGGACACTCACAAGGGACATTTGAGTTCCAAACTATAGTAATGGTACATTGCTGCACATGTGTGAAATCAGCAAACTAAAGACTTGAAGATATTCTAGGGGTTAGATAGCTCAGGTTCTTTAATGAAGTATAGAGAAATGACAGGATAGAGGTAAAACCTTCAGGTTAATAGAGATTTAAAAGGCATATCAAGTCTTTTTTTTTTCTTCTTCTTCTTATTTCAGTGCTGGGGATCAAACCTTGGGCTTTGTGGATGTTAGATAAATACTCTGTCCCGAGCTACATCCCCAAACTGACAAGTCTTTTAAAATGGGAAAGACCAAACTCTAGTGCAAAGGGATGCACATTTGGATGATAAAACTCCTATAGAAGGAAATGTTATGGTCTGGGATGTAGCTCAGTGGTAGAGTGCTTGTTGAGCATGCATGAAACCCTAAGTTTGATCCTCAGCACTTAAAAAAAAAAAGCGGGGTGTGGGGGACATTATGTTCATGATTTTATAATAGTCAAGGGACTGGTTATTTTAGGTGAGAGAGGGGTTTGACAAGGCAGTTTGGGGGAGGCTAGCAAAGTTGTTTTCTCTGCCAGAGTGGTAATTAAAAGTGTTTTATAAGTGCTCTTTAACTAAACATTAGTTTTCTTTGATCTTTTGTATTTGTATTTTATTAATAAAAAGGTTTTTAAAAAAGTCTTAATGAACCAATGGCCACATTAAAAGGGAAAAGTAATAACTAATTTTCTTCAAAATTTGTTCAGAGACACCTTTATGAAATAAAAACATTCAAGAAACACCATTTATACATTCACACAACATTAGATTCCTAGGCCGGTGCCTGTATGATTCTAGGATCTGAGAAAACAAAGTCTATATGACCAAGTTTCTTCCCTGAAGAATGTCCATGTTTTCATGTAGACAGATGTTTAAGCAGATACAGATGCCACCCCCAGGTGCTGTTATGGAGGATAGAACTAAATGCTGTGAGAAAGGAAAGAATAGCTGCCTGGGACTGTCGGAGGCTGCAGCACAGGGAAGCTGGTGGGTTGGGTCTTAAAAGAAGACACTGCAGATGGGAAAGGACCCTTCTGGAAGCTTTCCTGGCTTCCTTAATCCCCGATGAGAATTTACCATACATCCCAACACCATGTCACAATCAGATTGCCCAAATTATGTGCACAGTGGCACAGCCTCAGAATGTGGACCTCCTGCTCCATGGGGAACTGGTCTCTGATAATCTCCTCACCTGGCCCTCTAGACACTCCATTGGTTGTCCCCAGCTTCCATTCTTGGACTGTTTGATGTGCAGTCCACCCATGGAGACCTTGCTGTCTTGCTGGCAGCCATGGAGGCTCAGAGTGCTCAGCAAAGCCTTTGTAACTGCAGTTGGTCTGGCAGCACAGAATTAGAAAATGTTCAATAAGCAACCAAATGAAAGGGAGCCATGTTCCAGAGGGAAAGATGAGTGTGAAAAAGAGCAAGGCTAATCCTCAAAACAGCCAAAGCTGGGTTTCCTCTCCTTTTACCCCTGGGAAACATTAATATGGTGGACAGCCAGGCTTTCCATTGCTTTTCTCTGATTAGCCCTCTTTCCACAACATGGAGAATTAAGTCCAAAACTTGTTAAAACAACCCCAAGTATAAAACTTAATTTCATTAAGCATAATAAGGTGAATTTAAAAACAATGAAATAATATATGATTTCAGTTCATTTTTGTATTAATGGGTTAATCTTTTTAAACTTGGAGAGTCTGTTTGCTTTGTTTGGGTTTTTTTTTTCTTTTTGTGGTGCTAGAGATTGAACCCAGGCCCTTGAGCCTGCTAGGCAAGTGCTTTAGCACTGAACTGCATACCCTTCAGGGTCACTCCAGGTGAACTGGGATGGCACAAAATAATTACACAAAGACAGAGAAATACCGTTTTCTTTGGGTTCTCTGACGGCTCCTCTGACCCAGCTCCCACAAAGGAGGCAAGGCAGGCAAGAAAAAGAGAGGCACACCTTGAACCCAGTTTTATTGGGGAGAAGCCATTCAAATGAGGCAAAAGGCAGGATTACAAAGGAACAGGTGAGTGTAACTCAACCCCACTGGGTAACACCTACTCCTGGAGCCTCATTATCCAAGCTGAAGTAAGGCCCAATTTATAGTGGGGCTCAATTATTGTTCAATATCTCTTGCTAAGGGGGTGTATTTCCAGAGCAGCTCCCGACAACTTTGTTTTGAAACAAAACTTTAAAACCCTAAATAGATGGGCTGGGGATGTGGCTTAAGCGGTAACGTGCTCGCCTGGCATGCGTGCGGCCCAGGTTCGATCCTCAGCACCACATACAAACAAAGATGTTGTGTCCACCGAAAACTAAAAAATAAATATTAAAAAATTCTCTCTCTCTCTCTTTAAAAAAAAAAAACAAAACAAAACCCTAAATAAATATCTTCTCTTTTTGCTTAGGCAAATTTCATCTATTGGGTTCTCTTTTTTTTTTTTTTTTCTATTGGGTTCTCTCTGGTTGTTCCATACATGCTTTATCCTTGGCAGAAACACTCAGGGAGAAAGGACTCAATTCAAACCTACCTAAAGGCCAATGATCTCACTCCTTACCAAATAGAAGGTAAAATCCCTCTACTTGGGCTGCTGCCCTGTTAATTTAGGTAAGCCTAAAGAGGTTCAACCCCCTTCAGCAGTGCCATTAATTGACATAAGACCTATTTTTCTTTCTTGGGTGTGTAAAGCAACGTTTAAACTATAAATGAAATTAACTATTTATATTAGGAAAAAGCCCAGGAACTTTACATCAATAAATATTTTTTTAAATGTATGAATTTCAAAGTTTAGAGATTCATGGGAGCTTGTAGAAAATTATAAGGAAGCAGAAGGAAAGAAGAGTGGTTGATAAGATTGAAATATACAGAGAAAAAAATAAAAATAAAAACAAAGGGAAAAAAAGAGATACAGAAAGGTGGGCAGATCAGAGAACCATTAAGAAATGTGGCAAAACAACACTGATCTTTGCATTGTAATACTTTATAGGTCTGTATTTAGGTCTGAACCCTATTTAGAGCAAATAGGGTTCTTTCTTATACATAATTTTATTTTTAAAAAACTTTCTAAACAAAAAAAAAATTTTTTTTTTTGAGACAGAGTCCTGCTACATTGCCCAGGGTGATTTTTGTTTTATTTTGTTTTGTTTTTGGCACCAGGGATTGAACTCTGGGATATTTAACCACTGAACCACATCCCCAGCCCTTTTTAAATTTTACTTAGAGAACAGTCTCACTGAGTTGCTTATGGTGTTGCTAATTTGCTGAGGCTGGCTTTGGACTCTGGATTCTCCTGCCTCAGCCTCTCAAACTGCTGGGATTACAGGCATGCGCCACCTCATCGGGCCCAGGGTAGTCTTTAACAAATGGGATCCTCCTGCCTCAGCTTCCCAAATAGCTGGAACTGTAGACATGCATCACCACACCTGACCCTCCCACATTATTTCATTTGATTTAGTCATAGTAATATAAAGTAGACCTGGCTGTGACATGACCACTGGGCAGTGCCCTTGGCCCTGCTGTCACTGCCTGTAAAGAAACAGCATAGCTTTAGGTCCCTAAGATTCATATAAGCATTTTGTATTAATACAACCCATAAAGTAGTCATATAGTTTCTCACTTTTTTTTCAGGTCTGTATATTTTAACTTTGTAAATCAGGAATTCCCTACATCTTTTAAGAACATACTCTCTCTTGTCTCTTTATAGCAGTGGCTTTCAAATTATCCTCTATAGAGTTCCATGGGGACCTGAGGAAGTGTCTTCAGACAGTGAGAGGGCTCTATGCCTTTGTTTTTTGTTTTTTAAAATCTGTTTTATGCATGGGCTTCCATATAAGTAGCATTTTTTAAAAATAGATATTATGATTTATTGCTTTAAAACTCCCCATAATCACAGAATTTTTGATAAAATGTTACATCTCTATAAATTTTCTTTCCTGGTACTTACACAATATAAGGAAGATTAATCATAATTTCTGAGAGCAAATGATAAATACCAGTTTTTAAAAACACTCTGAATCTTTGCATTGGACAGATTTTCCATTCCATCTGATTTTCTATTAATGGATGATTTATTCCATTGAAATTAAGATGGGGCATTGATGTAATTATATAAACTCACTTGTAAAAACTGTCTTATTTGCATTTCATAAGATTTCGGAAATCTTTATTCAGTTTAAAATTTAAGAAGCTAAAAGTCACCACCACCAACATTACTGCTTTGCTTAGTCTGCTTTGTTTGGAACTTAAAAATAAGAACAGTCAGCAAATGCATGTAATAAAATCATATTGATAATTAATATTCATATCCCTCAATTATCTTCAGAACTCTATGTAGTTATTGAGGAAGACTCTTGAATTTATTATGTTACGTCTTTTTGTATATTTGAGCTTGGAGGCAAAGCCGGGAATGGTTCTTCCCCAAAATGGTAGCCTGAAAACACTGTACATTCTTTTTACTTGTTAACATTACACTAAAAAAAAAAAACAAAAAAACAAAAAAACAAAAACAAAAAAACATCACTTTCCACAAAATCTTATCAATCTATGTAAGGATTGAGATTAAAATTTATTGAAATATAAGTAAAAATAAGCCTAAATTAATTTCTGCATCATCAACATTTAGGGTTACACCTAAGCTAGTTAATGTGCTAGGGTCCTACAGCAAAAGCTAAAATGAGACAAAGGCCCTACCTTCCCACAGGAGAGAGAAAACACCTGGAAACTAGTGACTATGCAGAGTGTAGCAGGGCTGTCACAGAGCTATGAGCAGGATGCCCAGGAGAGACTTCTCAGAAGTGATTTTTTTTCTAAAGTGATATTTTTAATGACCACATTGGTGATTTGAATGAAATACTGCTGAGAAAACAATACAAGAAATTTTGTTGACCTGTATTTGTAAGCAAATATGTTTCCTCTTACATTATTAATTTCCTTAGCACACTTGATTTTAGCCATGGTAAAGTTCAAGTAGAACTAAGTGCTCAAATAGTTCTAGTAAGATTTTACAGCTTAATTTTCTTGTCATTTGCATGTTTGAAAATAATATGAAGGGCTGGGGTTGTGGCTCAATGGTAGAGCACTTGCCTTGCATGTGTGAGGCACTGGGTTTGATCCTCGGCACCACATAAATAAATAAATAAATAAATAAACTAAAGGTATTGTGTTCATCTACAACTAAAACAAAACAAAAAAAATAGGAAATCTACAATTAAGATTGTCACTAAGGTTGTATTTGTACCTTAATAGAAGTATTTTAATGACTTATTATTTTCTTTCCTAGATGAAAATTTTTCAGTTCCTCATAATAGAAGAGGAGTTCTTGGAATGGTCAACCAAGGCCATCACACCAATGGGTCACAATTCTATATCACCCTACAAGCAGCTCCCTATCTGGATAAAAAATATGTGGCTTTTGGGTATGTACATTATAGATGTCTATATAGTATATTTCACACACACGTAAAAATGTCATTCCAAAGATTTTGATGTGTATTATACATAATCTGTGAGTACCTAATACAGGGCTTAAAAGTAAAAGTAATACAAAGACAAACAAACATGTTTAAAAGTAAATATTTTATAAGAAGCTTCATAAAAAGCTTCATAAAAACACAGAAACCCTTTAGACAAGTCATGGTAATATTCTATTTGTGTGTGTGTGTGTATAAATATATATAGGAAGGACATGGAATGCTAAGATATATATCTCTCTATATATATATTTATACCAGGTATTGAACTCAGAGGCACTCAACCACTGAGCCATATCCCCAGCCCTGTTTTGTATTTTATCTTTTAATAATTTTTTAGATGTTGATGGACCTTTATTTTATTCATTTATTATATATGGTGCTGAGAGTTGAACCCAGTGCCTCACACATGCTAGGCAAGCGCTCTGCCACTGAGCCACAACCCCAGCACCCCCTATTTTGTATTTTATTTAGAGACAAGGTCTCACCGAGTTGCTTAGCACCTTACCAGTTGCTGAGGCTGGCTTTGAACTCATGAACCTCCTGTCTCAGCCTCCTAAACCACTGGGATTACAAGCATATACCACTGTACCTGGCAGGAAAGTATATTCTTATCCAAAAGATATCTTTAAAGATGAGTTTACATTCATAGATGCATAGCCTAAAATAATGAATTGTCTTCAATTTTCCTTCACACTAAAAAAACTGTAGTCTGATTTTAAAAACACATTCATTCTTGGATTAGTTTTGAATCCAAATAACCCTCACTTTTTCTTGGACTACTGAAATCTTTCTGTCGTCTTGCTGACACTCTACCCCTTCTACTTAATGTTCCTTTTTCTCTCATTAAAGAGAGAACACTTCTTTCTCAACACAAACACGACTACTCTAAAGCTTTTAATGCCTTCATCACCACCCTTCCCACCAATCCTTAGTACCCACAGTCTAGCTTAGCATTCCATGTCCCTCCATCTCTGACCCTATGCCTTTTTCTCAGTCATCACTTCATTACTAGCTTCCTGAATCTTTCAACCAGAATTTTATTAGGTACCTGCCATATGCCAGTCCTGATGCTCAGTGCTGGGCAGAGAGCGACAAGGCACAATTCCTGCTGTTCAGGGAGCTTAGAGTGCATTAGGAAAGGCAGATCAAAACGCAGGGACTGTATTACAGTGAGACATGGGTTGTACAAGTTCAGTAGAGGGAGCATCGGGAACATTTGAGGCAGGACTGAGACATCACCCCCACTCCTATAATAATAAAAGTGATCCTTACAGAATGGCAGTGGAGTGAAATAGTGTTGTTCTTTTTTTCAGGAATTCCTGGTCTTCATGACTGACCTTCCTTTTGGGGAAATCTCTAATTTTGTTGTCATCACCACTCTGGCCTCAGGGGGGCACTGCATCCCTTTTATTGTTCTGGCCCAAGTCTGCTCTCACTTGATCCCTTACATCTCCGAACCATAGTTGAAGCTTGGCTAGAATAGTTAAACCAGAACACTAAAGGAGATGTAGAAAGATAACATCTGGGGTGTACCTCAACTCCTGAAATCCAGATGTGATTAGCAAAGTTTGGAGAGAGAAAGAAGTTTCTTCTCTATTAGAGACTGGTCTTTCCAAGCTCTAGTTCCCCCCCTCCCCTCCCCTCCCCTCCCCTCCCCTTCCCTTTTTAGTACCGGGGATTGAACCCAGGGGCACTTAACCACTGAGCCACATCCCCAGCACCCCCCCCCCCCCGCTTTTTTTTCATTTTGAGACAGGCTCTTACTAAGTTGCTTAGGGCCTCCATAGGTTGCTGAGGCTGGCCTTGAACTTGTAACCCTCCTATCTCAGCTTCACGAGCTGCTGGGATCACAGACATGCACCACCATGCCCGGCTCCAAGCTCTAGTTTCTGGTGCGTAAATCTGCTCCTTCTTCAGATGGATGACACTGAGAATATACTCTTTAGGAGAGACTGCCACACTACATAGAAGTGCCTCACAGGGAAAGGATAACACAATGCAAGCTTGTAAGAACTCCATTCATTCATATGGTTGGAAGAAGGGGGATATATCAGGGGGATGGGGTGAGGGGGATTAATTTCATTTTAAGGGGGCATTATGATGGGAAGTGGTCATGGAAAACTCTATGAGAAGGTGAGCTGAGAAAGGAAAGTGAGAGTAATAGAGAAAGATGGAAATCACAATTAGAAAAATCAGTTTTAGGAAAAATGAAGGAGGCAGGCATGGTGGTGCATGCCTGTAATCCCAGTGGCTCAGTGAAACCTTGTCTCCAAATAAAATATAAAAAGGGGGCTAGGAATGTGGCTCAGTGGTTAAACGCCCCTGGATTTATTCTCTGGTATCAAAAAAGAAAAAAGGAAAAAAAAGAAGAAAAATGAAGGCACTCTTGCAGAGACCCTAAGGAGTTTCTCTTAACATCTGGGGTGCACCTAAGGAGTAAGAAGAACGTCTTGTCTACAAGTTATTTCTGGTCTAGCTGGAGCTTCTTGCCCAGGAAATGGAGAGGGAGGGTAGAGGCTAGAGAAGAGGAATAGCCAGAGCCCAGAGCCCAAGGTGACGGGGAACATAGAAGAATTTCAATTGTGAGCAGCTTCTCATTTTGAAAAGAAATTTCTAGAAGAAGTGAACAATTAATTGCAGAAGATGAAAATGAAAGTAGAGAGGCCAGTTAAGAAGCTCTGGTCATAGCAGACCATAAATGAAGTCCCGATGTAAGGTACTGGCAGTACACATGAGCAAGGGTAAGTGGACAAATCCAGGCAATACTGAGATTCATAGGTCTGGATGACTGTTAGATGTTGAGGGGGAGAGCCTGGCAGGAATCCAGATCAGTGCTGACCAGTAGAACTTTCTGTGTTGATGAAAATAGTTTATAATCTGTACTTCCCAGGAGTTAGCCACCAGGCACACATGGCCATTGAGTACTTGAAGTTTGGCTCACGCAAGTAAGGAACCATATTTTGCTTGATTCTAAATAAGTGTAAATAGTCATACGAGACTAGAGTCTAATACTGGACAGTGCAGGTCTATAGCAATCCTAGGATTTGGAAATGATGGATGGGGGCTGGGATTATGGCTCAGTCAGTGGTAGAACACTTGCCTAGCATGTGTGAGGCACAGGGTTCAATTCTCAGCACCACATACAAATAAATAAATAAAAGTTCATCAACAGCTAATAAAAAGTATTTTAAAAAAGAAAAGAAAACAAAACCGTGGACAGTTAGTACCATTCACTAAGATAGAGTATATGAAGGAGAAGGATTTGGGAGAGAAGATCAGGAATTCAAGCTGGACAAGTTGTGTTTCAGATCAAGATTCCTACAGGAAAACCAGTTGGCAATATCACAGAGGTAGATATTCAAATGAGGTCAGGGCTGAAGATATGTATTGGCAGGTGATCTATAGCCAGACCATAAAACCATCATCCTGGGACAGACTCTAAGCTTTGCTCATCTTATTCCTTTTTGCCCCCCTTTCATCTTTCAAAATTCTACTCAAGGGTTAGGTCAGAAACCCCCCTAATTAACAAAATCAGATGGCTTTTTTTGTGCTCTCTGGCACACTGTGAACAACTTAAAGCAGAGAACAGTCTCACTCTTTCCCTACTCTTACACATAGTAAGTTCTCGATAATTGTGAAAAATTGACATGGAGAATACGCTTCATGCTCTCTTTGAACAGGTGAATCTGTCCATTTATCCTCTGCTCTTAATTTCAGACTATACCTTGTGTTGCCAGTGTCTAGGTCAATTTTCTGTTATTTTAATAGTACACCAAAGACTGGATAGTTTATAAATAACAGATTTTTTTTTTTTTTTGGAGGCTGGGAAGTCCAAGAGAATGGCATCAGCATCAGCTGAGGGCTTTCACACAATGTTGTAACATGGTGGTGGGCATCCCGTGGAAATGCTTATAAAGCATGAGAGAAACAAGAACAAGCTGGGGACAAAAAGGAGGTGGAATTCATCCTTTTATCAGGAGCTTACTGCAGAGCTAACAACCCACTCCTGTTCACTCATGAAGGCAGAGCCCCGGTGACCTAATCAGCTCTTAAAGATTCCACCTCTTAATATCATCACAATGGCAATGAAATTCCAGCATGAGCTTTGAAAGGGGCATTCAAACCCTTGCATGGACTCTGTTCCGGTTTCTGATTGGGATGGCAAAACAGAGCCTAGAGGCAGACTAAGAGAGGAGCATGGTTGGTATTGACACTGACCCCATCCCAGGAAAGGATCATGAAATGGAAATTGCTCCCTTTCCCTCAGCCACTGTTCCAACCCAAGTACTAGTAGAAGGCACTGGTTCTATGTCTAGGCCTTTCTCTCTGCTTCATATTGTTCTGTTTTAATTGAAAGAAACATTAAAAGTCTAGGTCTGCTCCTCATGGAGTTCTAGCTCACAGCTGGCAAGTAAGAGATGTAAATCAGCATGACTTTAAGCTTTTATTCATGCACTTGATGTTGGTTAGGAGTCTAGAATGTGCCAGGCTTTATGCTAGGCACTGAGCACTGAGTGAAAGTGGGATCCTTGCCCTTGTGGGAGAATCAGAAGTTAACCAAACAGGATACAAGTCAATAAATGTAATATTTCACCCTGGGAACTCCTCAAAAGGTGAGGGGGAATTTCATAGGGACCTGGGAAACTTCCCCAAGGAAGTGAGGTCTGAGCTGATTTGAAAGAAGGCCAGGAAATGACCAGGTAAGCCGGTGAGGAGGACAGTTGTAGCAGGAAGGAAACATGGGGCTCTTGCAGTAGTGGAAGCCAATTTGGTTGAAGCAGAGAGCAAGAGGGAGACTTCAGCAAGACATCCTTGAGGGCCAGTGGGTGGCAGGCCACATAGCTCCTGGTAGGAAATAGTGGGAACTTTTGTCTTTATCATATGATAATGGGAAATTACTGAAGTGTTTTAAGCAGGAAGATGACATCAGACTTGTATTTATGAAAGATCCCTGTGACTGCAGTGAAAAGGGATGGGACAGGTACCAGAGCAGATGCAGGGAAGCCAAGGAGGAGCCTCTAGAGCAGGGCAGCCTATACACAGCGGGGGACTGCAGCCTGGGAGGTGGTGCTGGCTGTAGATGTGGCAAGGTGGACACATCTTAAATACTTAAGATATTTAAGATAAGCCACTTAAGATATTTATGACCGAAGTGAATTTAATTTGTAGGAAATAGCCTTAGCTATTGTTGGGTAGGACTGCATTTGGCAATGTAAGCTAAATGTGGAAATTTATAACTGACGACATTTTTTTTTCCTCCTACATAGGCAATTGATTGAAGGAACAGAAGTTCTTCAACAACTAGAATCTGTTCCAACAGAGAATGAAAGACCAATATATATATGTAATATTTCTGACAGTGGAGATGCTTTTGTCTGATTTCCATATCATTATTTTCTATGATGATTTATGTCTTTGCATCTAAACAGCTGTTTCTAGGCTTAATTAAACAGTGCTTGATAACACTTAGTTTAAAAGTTGTGGCAGACACAATAAGTTGGCTCATTTAACACCCCATCCCCTCCATTTTTCCCTTTCTTACCTCTACTGTAGACTGTAAAAGAGAAATAGTTTCTCAGCCTCCTTTGCTGTCAGAAGTGGCCATGAGATAGCATTCTGGCTGTGGAGGCAGGAGCAGAATGCCAGGGGTCCAGTCCCCTTCATCTAGTCTTGAACGCAAACAGGATGGAGCTGGAGCTATCGTCTTGTGGCCACAAAGCAAAGACCAAGAGAGCTGCTGAGATGTCAGCCCCAACCTTCTGAGCTATGGAACCAATATCAGTAACTACCTATCTACCTCTGAACTTCTTACTAGATGAAACAAATAGACCCCTTGTTTCTCTATGTTATTGATGGTTATGTTGTTACTTGTAACCAAAAACATTCTTAATTTGGCTATGTACCTAATGGACTTTGAACCCTAAAATATTTGTAATAGAATTATGTTGTGATTTATATGTACATTTCTACAATGAAAAACTTGGTAAATAACCAGACTGGGTGCGGTGGCGCATGCCTGTAAACCCAGCAGCTCGGGAGGTTGAGGCAGGAGGATCCTGAATTCAAAGCCAGCCTCATGAGGTGCTGAGCAACTCAATGAACCCTGTCTATAATAAAATACAAAATAGGGCTGGGGATGTGGCTCAGTGGTTTAGTGCCCCTGAGTTCAATCCCCAGTTCCAAAAAAAAAAAAAAAAGGCTTGGTAAATAACCAAATAGGGATGATGTAATATAAAAATAGAAAAGAACAATTCAGTGTAACACTTCATTATTTCTAAATAGCAAGGCCTTATGAACTTTGGATGTCCTTATATGATGTCAGTGTAACTCATGGCTCTTTGAGCCATCCAACCATATGAAAATCAAGGGTTTGGTGTTTGACTCACATGATATTAGTTGGAGATCCATTTTATCAGCTGCTCCTTAATCTAACATTCTCAAACCCAAGTCACCTAACAACCTTTTTTTGTGTGTGGGGGGCACTGAGGATTGAACCCAGGGCCTTGTGCATGTAAGGCAAGCACTCTACCAACTGAGCTATATCCCTAGTCCAGCCTAAGAAGCTTTTTAAATACAGACTGTCCTTGACCTACTGAGTCACAGTCTCTAGGTGAGGGTCTCTAAATGTGGGGATAGGGATTCTGTGTTTTTTAGTTCTTTCCCTAGTGGTTCTTTCTTAGACAGTGAGGCAGTAGTCATTTGGGAATCACAGCAAGACAGAAGTATCTGGTTTTGACTCCTTTGGTAACAAAGGACTTGACTTTGTTATTGGTCATCTTGCTCAGCTCCTGTTAACTGAAACTACCCTTGTGTCCCTGCTCTGCCCAGAGCCTTTCTCCACTGCTGATTTATCTTTCAAGAATGATATTTGATATTTCTTTAAATCAACTTTTTCTTTTTCTTTTTTTTCCCTTTGGTACTGGGGATTGAACCCAGGGGCACTTTACCACTGAGCTACATCCCCAGGCATTTTTGTTTTTTATTTTGAGACAGGGTTTCACTAAGTCATTGGGGGTCTCGATAAATTGCTGAGTCTGGCCCCAAACTTGAGATCCTCCTGCTTCAGCCTCCTGAGTCTGGGATTACAGGTGTCGGTCATCACATCCAGCAATTTAAGCCAATCTTAAAGAAGACAGGTCTTTAATTGATTTTGGGGTTGCCAAAGATGGGCATATGTTTTATTTTTATGTATTTATATTTTAGCTGTAATTGGATACAATACCTTTATTTCACTTATTTATTTTTATGTGGTGCTGAGGATCGAACCCACGATCTTGCACGTGCAAGGCGAGCGCTCTCCCACTGAGCCACAACCCCAATCCTTGTTTTATTTTTAAATAATTATGGATTTGCAGGAAATTACAAAAGTAGTACAGTGCAGTCCCGTGTACCCCCTAGCCAATTTCCTTCACAATGCACACAACTGTAGTGCAAAATCAAAACAAGGCAACTGACATTGGTACAAAAGTGTGTGATGCCATTTTTTTAAAAAAATTTAAGATGCTAGTGGACCTTTATTTTATTCATTTATTTACATGTGGTGCTGAGAATTGAATCCAGTGCCTCACATATGCTGAGCAAGTGCTCAACCACTGAGCCACAAGCCCAGTCCTGTGTGACGCCATTTTATTATGGGAAGATTTGTGTAACCATGCACGATGAAAATACCAAACTTTTCCAGCACCACAGAGACCTCCCTGTGCTACTCCTTAGTCTCACCCATCCCCTGTCCCCAACATCTCTAAATCCTGATACTTGGCATGTGCCCTTTGTGTGTGTGTGTGTGGGGGGTCAGCTTTATTGCTATGTGCCATATGCTTTATACCAAAATTGGTGGTGGATGAGGAGAAAGCATACTGTCCGTTCCATTTTCAACTGAACCAGAAGCAGAAAGTGTTAGGCATGTGTGTTTTAGAGCCAGACGCCTGGGTTGGAATCCTGGCTCTGCCCTTTCTAGCTGCATGAACTCAGGCAAGAGCTTCTCGGCCTGTTTTTGTCAGCTTTTTCACTGCTGTGGCCAAAAGACCTGACAAGAACAATTAGAGGAGAAAAAGTTTATTTGGGGGCTCACAATTTTAGAGGTCTCAGTCCACAGATAGCTGGCTCTAAATTCTTGGGGCTCAAGGTAATGCAGAATATCGTGGCAGAGGAAAGCAGAGGAAAAGGGTCTAGTATGCTGTAAGTGCCCATTAGATAGATATTTAGTAAATTAGAAATTATGTATAACCTTTAGGGTGTGGCCTTAGGACCTGTACCTCTTAAAAGCTCTCCAATGACTGATCAACAGCCAAATTTGGGAAACACTGAGGCAGAGACATCTCCTCTTCCTATACATCGAGTTTTGGGCAACCTGAGAACTCAGGCTACTATATGAAAGCCTCTAGACCTTTTCTCTGGGCCTTTGGCCAGTTCTGAGGTCACACTGGGGACATCTCAAACAAAGGGAGCAGAGCTTGCCACTGAGACTCAACAACTACCAAAGTAATTGGTAAAAGGAAACCGATACTTTGCAGGGATCCCGATGAAAACACTTTACGAGCGTTGGTCATGTAGTAACAAGAAGCAGAGCAATTCTTCCTGGTGATGAAGCTATATATTAAAGGCCTTAAGCATTTTTATCGGATGTTGTGAAAGAACTGGGATGTTTGCATGAGTGTAAGAAACTGGCTCCAGCTCCCTTGGTCTGTTTAGCACCAATGTAGAACTCTGCCAGTCTTCTCAAGGATGGCAAGTTCCTGGTTTAGAAATAGGAGAGCAAAGGCATTCTGATAATTTATAGAAAATGTGAATTATGTGGCAAACCTTGTCCTAACTGATGATAGGAAAGTACATATACTGTATCTTACATTGGATCATGCAAATAAAGGAGTGTGGTTTCTAAACGTTTTTCTCATTTTGGGAGATCTGAGATAAACATTTAAAAGTCTAAGGAATCTGTTTGCCCCAACTGTGGACAGTACCATTTGTTAATAAACGGATAGTCTAGCAACCTTAGGATTCCAGACTTTTGAGTTTTTACACTTTGCATATATTTTAAGTACAGTATATTTGTTTTAGAATCATGTATCTAGCAATGTAATGGCTGAATCACTTAACCTGTCAACTGTTTTCATTTGTAAATTAATAGAAATAAGTAATTTTTTAGCTATCTACAAGCTCCAAAACTTTAGTGACTCTCTGGGTAAATTTATAAAATTCATTATAATATTATAATTTACTTTGGGGCTTCAATTTCATTAATAAAATGAGAGCACATTATCTCATAGTGTTTTGAGAGGTTAGATGGCAGATGAAGACATTTCTTTTTCTTCTCGGGGGGTGGTACTGGGATTAAACTCAGGGGCACTCAACCACTGAACCACATCCCCAGCCCTATTTTGTATTTTATTTAGAGACAGAGTCTCACTGAGTTGCTTAGCGCCTCACTTTTGCTAAGGCTGGCTTTGAATGATCCTCCTGCCTCAGCCTCATCATTGGGATTACAGGTGTGTGCCACCACACTGGCTAGGTGCGGACATTTCTAATGATGCCTGAACATAGCAACTGCCCAATAAAAATTAATCTCCCTTTTGAAATGCCTCCCTCAAAAAACCAGTGCAACTGCCACTGACAGATCATTTCAAGAAATATCAAGTCCCTATTATGTTTGGTATTAGCAGTTATCAGTAACACGATTTGAACTTTCAATTGACTGAACTAATTCAAAGGTATACCCCCAATGTTAAAATGGGTCTCTGCTATACTCAGCAATACTCTCACCCTTATGGAAACGTTTTTTGTTCTTTTATGGTTTTTTTTTGTGTGTGCGTCTGTGGTTTTTTTTGTGTGTGTGTGTGTGTGTTTGTGTGCGTGTGTGAAGCTAGGGATCAAATCCAGGGTCCTTCACATGCTAGCCATGCTCTTTAAAACTGAGCTGTACATGATTCACAATTAAGAACAGCAGCAAGTTAAGAGGACAGAAGAGGCTTTACCACGAAGCTACATCCCTGGCCCTTTATTTTGAGACAGGGGTCTCACCAGGTTTCCCAGGCTGCCCTCAAATTTGCAATCCTCCAACTTCAGCTGAGGAGTCAGAGTCACTGGGATTATAGTTGTGCACCAGTACAAGATTTTGCAATTCTAACAAACTCAAGATAATAAAAATGGTATTTATGCATGGGCCACACCCTGAGAATGGTGGGAGTTTTCAACTAGAGCTACAGATTAGAAACACCGGGAAAAGCTTTTAGTTGGGTATGGTGGCTCACGCCTGTAATCCCAGTGGCTCAGAAGGCTGAGGCACAAGGATTGCAAGTTCAAAGCCAGCCTCAGCAACTGGTGAGGCGCTAAGCAACTCAGTGAGACCCTTCTCTAAATAAAGTGCAAAAAATAGGGCCAGGATGTGGCTCAGTGGTTGAGTGCCCCTGAGTTCAATCCCTGGTACCAAAAAAAAAAAAAAAAAAAGCTTTCAGAAATCCTTACTCCTCTGATGAAGTCAATATGCAAACATCATTAGCTTTCAAACCCTTCAGTGTGCAGTCAAGGTTGAAAACTAAGTGTAAGAGTAGTCCTAGCACAGTTAACAAAGAAATACCACAAAGTAGAGATCCTCCAAATATCTCTAGTATTTCATCATCAGTCCTAATACAGTCTGAATAGTTTTAGTTCATTATTAACCTGTTACAATCCTTCTCTACTTTGCCAAAACTGATTTAAATACTCAAGGTTTAATACATGTTGTTATAATTGTATTATAGATGCCCATCCTTGCCTCCCACCCATACCTGGCTCTGAATGAATTTGGCCAAACCCACAGCTAAAGAGGGTCTGTTGGTCTGGATGAAGGGAATTTAGGGGAAACAATTTATTTTTATTTTCTGTTTAAAAAATTAAAGGAAGCTTGTACTACTAGCAGATTCACAAGAGTCAAGCACTTCCTCTCACTGCTTTCAAGAAAAGAATGATAAGATAAAAAAGTGGCTCTAACAAACCAATATTTCAATTGCAGCCAAAATGTACCAGAGGAAATAACCTGGGTGATGGCTGACTTTGCAAACAGAATATGATTCAAATAGATGAGACTCTCAACTGGGGATGATTTTACCCCAATATTATCAGAAGGTGTTTCTGGTTGTCACAAATGATGGATGGGGGTGGGTGCTTCTGTTATTTACTGGGCAGAGGCCAGTAGCATCATAGGTCACTGAACAGGCAAGTTTGTCAGCCTAAAATCTCATAGTGCCAACGCTGAGAAATATGACACTAAAGAGACTGCTTCTTCAGGAACTGAAAATAAAGGTTTTTTCCAGAACAGTGAAGACTATTTTGGGCTGGATGCAGTTGCATAGGCCTGTAATCCCAGCAGCTTGGGGGGGCTGAGGATCTGAAGTTCAAAGCCAGCCTCAGCAATCTAGGGAGGCTGTAAGCAACTTAGTGAGATCCTGTCTTAAAATATATAGAAAGGGCTGGGGACACGGCTCAGTGGTAAAGTGCCCCTGGATTCAACCTCTGATACCAAAAAAAAAAAAAATTACTTTGGAACTCTTCCTTGATCTACTTCTACAGATGCCATGTAAAATAAAATAAGCCATCAGTTTTTGTCTTTAAGAGTGTGAAATGTCCCTTTATTAGAACTAATGGAAATCTGAGGACTAGAGCTAAACATCTAGATGACAAATTGTTAACCAATGGCCTCTACAATGGGGCATGTTCAGCCTAGGGTGAAGCAAGAATATCCATTGGGGTATGAGGAGAAAAACATATTTTTAATCATGAAAAAAAAAGTTGCTTATGCTTTCATTTAGTCTTGGGTGTAGTCATGTGCCAAACATGATATGTGAATCCTGGGCGAAGATTGGACGTTTGTTTGTTTTGAAGTCCTGATGGTGATTCCTCATTTTCTTAACTGCACTCACACTTCTGGCCTGGCCATAGGTTGGATCAGCTGATGTTAGTTCACGGTCATGAGGGCACACAAGGGCTACACTGATTGAGATTCCAGGCAGGAATAAAAGCTTCTAACCTTAAGCAGAAAAAAAACAAAAAGATTAAATACTTCTCTGCCATCATCGTTCTGGGTGTTTGTGGCACAGCAAAACATACCCCATAAAAGCAATTAATATTATTTTATTAGAATAAATAAGCGGAAACAGCGGCATTAAATACAGCTTTTAAAGTCTTTAACTTTTACCACTTGATAGAAGCCTATGAAGTATTGCGTTTTTTGAGACTCAGCACCAGATGGCGCTCAAGCTTACTGAAAGATCAGCTCCAGAACTGGCACTGCAAAATCCAACTCGGATACCAGGCAACTCTATGTTTAGGCACTGCAAAATCCAGCTCTGATGCCAGGAGATTCCTAAGTCTCAATTTCCTTACCCATGATGTGCGGGTGGAAACCAACCCAATGGCCTTTCAACTCAGACCGCCTATGTTTCTGACGACAAAGTGGTGAAGTTGAGACTGACTTGCCACTGCGCTTACTGACACAGCAATCCTAAAGTCAGACTGCGAAAATGCGACAAAGGTCGGCAGGAGGCTGTATTCGGTGCAAAGTGGCTCGCACTACGTGGGCGACAGATTAAAAATTCTTTAACCACGTGGTGCCTTCATTACCGCGGAGAGTCCCCAAACTGGGTTCTTCCAGCAAAAAAAAAAAAAAAAAAATCAAGAAAATAAGCGCGGCTCCTTCTGAGGATAGACATTAGCTCTCTGGGGACCGGGCAGTACAGAATATAACACAAACTTATCCAAGTTCCACGTGCATGGGACAAACAACTTCCGCCGGGTAATTCGGATCCCGGAGGCGCGGTCTAGGTGGTCACGTGGGGCCACGGAATGACGCCTCGCAGGACGTTCAGGTGGACGCTGCTCGCCACGTCACGTGGGTTGTTCCATCCAAGCCAGAGTGAAGGACTTCCATATGAGAAACAAACCAATTGCATTCCGTGTGGCAATCTGAAAATAAGGGAGACGATTTTCTGCGCATGACCGTTTTCACCCTATAGTACGGTCTCACTGAAGCTTCCATCGAACATCCCTGCTCCCCCCTAGAATTCCCGTTGGTCTCGCCCGCGCCCCGCCTCCGCTGCGGCTCGCCCCGCACGCCCCTGTCTGAAGCTCCCCACGTGACCCCAGCGCACTCCCGAGGGGGGCGAAGTCTTGGAGGCGGCGCCGCAGGGGACTGAGGGACCGACTGCGCGTTGTATGCTGCAGCTTTCTCCAGGACGCCACCACAGAAGACACGATGTTCGGGTTCTCCAGCCGTCTGTTTTGGGCAGCCACCTGCCTGTCTGTGGTCTGCGTGCTGTCTGCGGAGAACTCGTCCGTGACTCCAGCAGAGACTGAACCACTCTTTTCAGCAACCACCAAGGTGGCCCCGACGCCGGCGACGCCTGCCTCGCCGGTCACCACTCTAGTACCAGGTGAGCGACAGCCCAGTGGGCTTCCCGCTTTCGTCTGCCTTGCGGAGTGAGCCCTCTCCGGGACGCACGGAGCCGGGGCCCGGCGGACAGCGCTCCGGGGGCGGCGGCGGCGACTTTGGCAACATGGCGGCCCGCCCAGGTCCGGTCGCGGTCGGCGCGGTGTGGCCGGGCGGGTAGGGAACGCCCGGCGGGAAGGGGATCGGAGGGCCCTGGCGGCCGTTGGGCTGCTGTGATTCCCAAGCTTTGCACGGAGAGGTGCTTTTTAAAAGTGCCTAGTAATCCCCATCCTTACCGTAGGCTCGGAAGAGGGGACGTGGCTTTCTTGCGAGGTGGCATCTGTGGGCTTAATGATGATGGGGCGAAGCGACGCGCCTCCGAAGTTGGCTGGGAGATCGAACTTCTCTCTCCTTGGAACTAGTCGTTTAACCCACCCCCACCAGGGCCTCTCTCCGTAGAGAGATTTGTCCAGAAATTGGTGA